CGTAGTAGGCATAGGCATAGACATAGGCATAGCCATAGGCATAGGCATGGCCACTGTGCTAGTACTGACTTGGGTGGATACCTCACTGCACTTTTTGGGTGACTTTTCAACGTCTTGTTTCTCAACAGTGACTTCTGTTGCTTCTGTTTCATTTTGCTGAGACAAGTTACTTTTCTTGGAAGCTGCAAACGTCATCAACTTTTCTAAAATAACATGCACCATGTCCTCTGCAATGTCACACATTGGTTCCAGAGAACCGCAGACTGTTGCTTTAGAAGGCTTTTCTGGTTTGCTAATAAAATGTTCTTCACTGGGAAATAAATCTGGTTTGAAGGTGACTGACAGGTCTTCTTGTGAAAAGATCTCAATGCATTTTTTTTCCACTGCAGACTGCAGCTTATCAAGCATATTTTCAACAATATCTGCAGCTACCGAGGACACATCCACATTGGAGAGCACACTGGCTTTGCCAGTTTCAAGATGGTCAACAAAAACTTCAGCTGTAACAGCAGAGAGAGAGGGAATTGCTTGAGCTAAATCAGATAGTATTTCTTGAAAAATGTTTTCCAAAATCAATTCTGTTTCTTCTTTTAGGTGACATTTAAAATTAACAAAAATGTTTTTTAACTCCTTCATCTCAGTAATAGGTTTTTCTTTTTCTTTTGGGGAATCAGTAGGTATTTCTTCTGTTTCTGTAGTAGCATCCTTCTTCTCACCTACTTCAACTGAAGATAAAAGTTGACTGTCAGACTTACAGCTCCTTACCTTGGGGACATCATAGCTCATTCCCATCTTGTTATACTTAAATTGAGCCACTGTCTGTCCCTTCTTTTTGGAATATGTTCCTTTCAGGATGGTGGTTTCAATTTGGGTCGGTCTTGATATTTTTGTTACTATGGGCTGCCCTTCTGGAACTGTAGGCAAGTTTACTGTCTTTGAGCTGACATCTGTACAACTGATCTTTTCAGCTGTGGCTGCAGAATAAGCTCTGTATGCAAATTCATCACTGCAAGTACTACAGAAACTTGAGCTACCCGACGAGAGAACTGAATCATCAGATAGTGGATATATATTTGTACGCAATCTTTCTTCATACATTGTGATGGCTGGATATAAAATACTGGTCACTGTAGCTACAACCCAAGTCATTACATTTTGAAGTATGCTATTTAATTCTTCAGCAGATATCTGCAGAGAAAGCAGATGGGGATGGATAGAGAAAACATTCACGGGCTTCATGTGTACAAAGCGACTTACCTTGCACACTCCTTATCACAGAAGGCACACTAGATGAAGCTAGAATAAATTCACAGTTTAGAAAAGGATTCAGTCTGAAGAGAATCATGGGAGAGGAACTCTAGAGTCTGGACTCAAGTTAGCTCTACTTGCATTTTTTAAAATGAATCTTCCTGTTAAGTAATCTATGATTTCTATTCTGTAGCGTAGTGGAAAGATTACTGAACTTGAGAGTCTGATAACCTGTGTATCTTCTACTAACTGGGTAACTTCTCTGAGCCTCAGTTTCCTTATTTTCAAAATGGGGATGATAATCTTGAACCATCCCTTGCAGGGCTGTTGTAAGGCTCAAAATAAATGACATGTGCAAAAACACTTTGTAAATTTAGAGGTGCCATACAAATATGATCATTACCCAGAATGCCTCCACTAAAGTCCTCCTTCTTGGTTCAGAGGTAACCCTGGGTCCTCAAAGACCATAACAGCAGAGTACCAGCTCTGGCAGGTCTTACTGAGCTAGAAGGTTTCAAGTACTGGCCAGTGATGGGCCGTATGGCTGCTGTTCAAGGACCAGCCTGACCAAGTTCAGAGATACTCATCGCCAAGAGATCAACTGCTTGGTGAATAGATTTGGGCTACAAGCAACTCAGGAAATCATCTACTAAAGTGTGAGAAAGCTGTAAACTGGCATGGATGACGGGAGTACTCAAACAGGTGAAATTACAATTCATTCAAATTACTGAACAAACACTATTATCAGCCAAGTATCTTGTACTTAATAGACACAATGTTTACTGAATCATAATTTTGTCGTTATAATGTAGTTGGTGGTAGAGTACATAGAGCATTAGACCTGGAGTCAGGAAGACCTGAGTTCAAATATGGCCTCACTTATTAGTAGTATGGTCTTGGGCAAATCACTTGACCTCTGTCTGCCTCAGTGTCTTCATCTTTAAGATGGGAATAATAATAATAGCACCTATCTCTCAGGTCTGTTATGAGGAAAAATGAGATAATATTTGTTAAGTGCTTTGTAAACCTTAAAATGCTATATAAATGCTAACTATTATTAGTATTGTCATTATACATGGTGTCCCAAAAGTCTTAGCGCAGTTTTAAGCTATTAAATCTTAAAGCTTAAAACTCTACTACAACTTTTGAGACACTGTGTATAAGAAGAAATAAAGATCTTCCATCTTTTTGACTGGGTTCTTTTAAAGGCAAAAGAATAGGGAAAAAATGAATTTGGCATCTCTGCTATGGTTTAAAAAAAAAGAAAAAAAGGGCTTGGCAAGAAAGCAGGGCGCCTGGCCTGACCAATGCTTCTTAAAGCTACAATCCAAATTTCCCCTGAAAATGTGAGTAAGAAGGACATTTCTTTTCAATTTATGTATTCTAGCATATTGAGGATACTTCTGGCCATCATGGAGATATCCCATGTAGTCAAGTGACTTGCAGCTAAGACCCTGTCTGATTGAGATAAGATAGGAGGGCCTAGATGAGCAGCTCAGTGGCCTCTGCAGCCAGGTTTCTGGCATCCTTCTGCCTGCCTATACCAAGTGGTTCTGCACACATATACATATTTACTTAAATACACATGTACTTACACATGTATACCCCTATACATCCACATCTGTATCTAGATCTCTACTCATATGTATTTATAGATGTATCTGAACTAGCCTGGATGCCTCTGGGTCAAACAACAGATCAAAAAGGCAGTCCAAGTTTTCTGAATGGAAGGCAGTGGGTAGTTTGTGAGAATGGAAAATTAGGTTGGTAGAAGTTGAGGATTAAGAACCTTCCCAATTCCCTCCTATTCATTTAGCCAGGGAAGCTAAGCCAGGGCTGCAGTTGGGGGAGCATGCTTGCTCAGTGGCCAGGGGGACTCAGCTCAATGTGGCCCAGCTGTAGAAGTGGGGGCAGAATAGAAAGACAATACAGACTGCTTGACTATCAAAGGAAAAGAGAGATCTAGTGTGGATTCGGGTAGGTAAATAGGGGCACCTGGAACCAAGGAATTCTGAGATAAAATAAGTTCCCCAACTGGATGAAACTAAACTCTGTCTCTGCTCTATGGACCTATACTCACCTGCCTGCATATATTTTATAAATCTTGATGCTGAAAGTCCATTTTGGGGGATACTTTTAAGGTTCCCAAATCATCTAGGCATTTTGTAGTTATTTGGAATGTGACTTTCCTTTTTATTATTTCCTCTTGGATTTTGTTATTACATAGAAATATCGTTGGTTTTTGTGGGCTTATTTTGTAGCTGGCAACTTTGCTGAAGCTATTAATTTCCTCAATTAGTTTTCTTTGCTGATTTCCTAGGATTTTTGAAGTATCATGTCATCAAAGAGGGATCATTTTGTCTCCTCTTTGCCTAACATTAAGCCTTTTATTTCTTTCTTTTACTTTATTGCCTTTGCTAGCATTTCTAGTCAAATAACAGTGGGGAGAGTGGGTGCCTGAGAGCATCTTACTGTCTGTGGCTTACTTTGACTGTGGATGATAGGAGAGAGATAAGCTTCAAGAAAGAATCGAAACCCATGCATGGTGACTTTTTGCTACAAGAGGAAATGAATTACTGCCTAAAATGTGGTAGTAGATAGATACTTCAAGAAATCCCATCACTCCCACAGGTACCACGGTCAGGGCTTGTATTGCAGGGAAATCTGAACCTTGTTCTCATAGGCTCTCAACATTAGCACTGGAAGGAATCTTAAAAATCATTTTACCTAGCCCTCTCATTTTATAAAAGAGGAAACTGAGGTCCAGAGAAGAGGAGAGACTAGGCCACACTAGCCATCTGTGGAAGGTCTCCTTGGAGTCAGGATACCTGGGTCTGAATCCTTCCTCCAACATTTACCAGCTGCATTACCATGGGAAAATTAGTTCACCTCCCCAGGCCCCAGTTTCTTCACCTGTAAAAATTGGATGACACCATTTATAGTATAGACTTCACAGGGTGCTTGTAAGGACCAAATGAGCTAATGGATGGAAGCACCATGTAAATCTTAAATTGGCACATAGCAGCTATCATTAGTGACCTAGAACAGGGCCAGGTGGTTGGGTATTTTATCATCTGCTGTGCTGCTGGAAGAACCGTGTGCGACAGTATGTTTGTCTTGTATAGCTGTACCCTGAGAGGAACATTCCTAGAGGTAAATCTGAAAAGTGCATGGAGAAAGCCAGATATTTGTAGGAATCTACCCTTACCAGACCTAGGGAATTAAAGATATCTTGTTTTCTAAATTCCAGAGGCAACATAGGGCAGAGCTACACTGAGGTTTTTAGACTGGCCATACAGAAAGCAATATGAAACAGATATATTCCTAAAAAGTTGTGGGTAAAGTAAAATTGGATAAATAAGAATTCTCTTTTCCCACTGACTACCATTATGAAATTTGATGGCTATACATCCCTATAAAGATAAAAGCTAAGCTTTGGGCACCAGCATCTGTCATTGTGTAAGGATGTCTTATGTGTTTCTATCAGGCGTGTGTAGGGGGATGGGTACATAGAGATGTCAGAGTGGATGCTGCTCCCTTGTCCCTCCTTCTCTTTCCTGCCCCAGGATTTAGGGCTCATAACATGAGGCCACTTGACATTTCCTGATCCCAGTCCCAACTTCAAGCAACAATAGCTTACATTTATAGGGAGTGTTAAAGTTTACAAAATGATTTCCTCCCAACAGTCTTGGGTGGTAGGTAGTATGAGTATCAGTATTCCCAGATTTCTAACTGAGGCTTCGAGAGTCTACGTAGTCACATGGCACAGACATGGTGGAGATGGGCTCCAAGTCTGACATTCTCTTTCCACTATTAGATGTTGCCTTGTCTGGACAATCTTGAGAGCAGAGCAGACCTGGGCATCCTGGCCAATCTGTCAGGGAATTCCCCAGGAGAGAGGCTGAGCATCCACTACCAAGAAGCTGTTACAGTCTGCAAAGACATCGTTAGCTTCCTGGCATGAGGTCAGGGTGGACTTTGGACATCTGGTAGCTGTCAGGACCCTTAAACCTTCCTAGAGTCCCCATGGTTTCTCTTAGGAAGTGGCATGTCTCTTTCCTAGACATGATATTGGTCCTTTGCAAACAAGCCTCTTGTCTCTCTCCAGCAGCAACGGTTGCTCTGAACAGAGGGAGAGAGACTAGAGTGATATCTGGACAGCAGGGAAACTACATGACTGTCGTGGATGAGGTGATCTGCTGTATAACCCAATAGAAAATGGAATTGCCACCTTGTTTTCTCCACACGTCCTTTCATACTTACTTTTTCTTGTAGGCCGTTTTGCAGGATGTGGTGTTGTCTGAAAAGCAAACAAAACATCATCGTTGAGTTTTTGCTTCAGTGACAAAAAAGCTAAACATCTTCCTTCCAAAGTCCTCATTGTTGAATCTAAACCTTGTCTTTATATATTTGGGAGAGTGTTAGAAATTCACAAAGAAGAGATAAATTGTCTTTCTCCAGGTCCCTCTTGCCCTGTCAGGTAGATTTGTGTCTCTGTGGTAGACAACTGTTGTTCAGGCCACTGTGTAAGCAGTATGGGGCATCTGGCCACCCTGCCATTCCCACACCCTGACTCCCCCTAAGTCTGTGGGGAGCTGGAACACACAGAAATGGTTTGCCATAGGGATGAGATATTCCCTTAAATTCCATGGGGTTCCACCATAGCATTTGATGAATGCAACAACTTTTACCTTGTATCCAATTTTGAACCAGACTCAGAGAATCATAAAATTATAGACTCTCAGAGTTGGAAGGGTCCTCAGAGCCCATCCTGTCCAGTCTGTACAGATCCATGTTTGCTGAACTGAATGGTATTGGATTGCTATGGATAAGCTGGAAAGTGTCCAGAAGACGATAAAGAGGAGGTTGGAGAGTCTAGAGATCATGCCATATGAGGACAGATTAAAGGAACTGGGAAAAGGGAAGGGAGGACATAATGGCAGTCTTCAGATATTTGAAGGGCTAGCTATTATGTGGAAGCTGGATTAGATTTATTCTGCTTGACTCCAGTGGGTGGCAGCTGCTGAGAAAAGCAGGTGGAAGCTTCCCTTTTCTGTAGAGATCACTACCAGCTTTCCAGTTGGTTTGCAACCTCCGAGTTATGACCTGACTCTTGGCTTTCTTTCCCAGATCCAAGCAGTTGCCAAATTTTGCTTCCACAGCATGTGTCAGATGACTCACTCCGCCCTAGGCATAGTTCAAGCCCTTCCTCCCGCCCCCCTCCCCTCTCCCCAGACCATTTTGCTGCCTCCTATTTGGTCTCCTTGCCTTGACTCCTCTCTCTCCACTCCAGCCTCCACATAGAGGCCTCATCTGACCAGGTCACTCCCCTGTATAAGGAGCTCCAGGGACTCCTCATTGCCTCTAGGATCAAATATAATTAAACTTGATCTTTAGCTAAGGCCTGCTATGAATTATTAAACTTAATTAAGCTAGCTTTTATTAGTAAGTTGTTGGAGTTTAACTTCCCACACTTGTGAACCCAAACCCCCTTGTTTTGTAAGAGTTCCCCCTTTCTGTGTGAGTTAAAATTCCTCTTTTTGCATGTAAGTTAATTCTTCATTTAGACTCATGAAAACTTACAAAACACTCCATCATGCTCTCATAATCAGTGAGTTGCTTCATTAATCATAGATACTCAAGCCAATGAAAAAGCTGAGCTTTTATCACAACACCCCTAGAACTTCAAAGAAAGGAGAGAGGGATTTCCTTGCAGTTTCTTTCCTTCCATATGTGTATATAGCTATAAACCAATCTTTGTGCTTGTCTTCCCCATGCCCCCTCCTTCAGCACATGTCCCCATTGTCTGTAGGCTACCTCATCCAATTTTTTTTTTAAGATAGATCATTCTTTTTTTTCTTTTTTGTATTTTGTTAGGCAGTGGGGTTAAGTGACTTGCCCAGGGTCATACACCTAGCAAGTGTCAAGTGTCTGAGGCCAGATTTGAACTCGGGTCCTCGTGACTCCAAGGCCGGTGCTCTATCCATTGTGCCACCTAGCTGTCCCTTCCTGATTTTTTTAAACAAGCATTTATTGAGCACCTACTAAGTGCCAAGCACTCTGTTAAGCATTTTACAAATATCTCATTTTATCCTTACAACAACCTTGGGAGGCAGGTGCTCTTGTTATCCCCAATTTACAGATGAGGAAACGAACTGGCAAAGACCAAATTTCTGCTCTTCCCACTAACCTATCTTTTGCTAAGGAGCCAGTGGGATACGGTGGAAAGAACATTGGTTCTGGTGTCAGAGGATCTGGGTTCAAATCACACCTCTGATGCTTATTACCTGTGTGATCTTGGGCAAATCTCTTCTCCCTGTTTCCTCCTCTATAAAATGAGGAGGTTAGACTAAATGACTTCTAGGGTCCCTTCCTATTCTGGATCTAAGGTCCTATCATCTAGTCTTCCTATTCCTATTAGCAACATCACATTCTTGCTTTACCTCAAATCCACATCCTTGGAGTAATGCTGAAACTTCTACTTCTTGCCAAATCCCACTACTCATTACTAGTCGCATTTTTGGAGGTGCCCATTCCTCCCTGTGTTCATCATTGTGTGGGCTACTCTTAACTCATTCTAGACTTCTCCTTATGGAGCTCTTTGCTTGCTGCCTCTTCTGCCTCCTAATCTTCTTTCCTACTGCCAACCAAATAGACCACCATTTGACTACTTCATAACTTTCCTCAAAATCATAGGTTCTTTGTCACTTAACAGACCAAATCTGCATTTCTGATCATGGTCTTTAAGCTACGCTCTTGTTCTAGATAGCTTAACTGGGGCCCTCTCTCACTGTGCTGCTAAGCATTCCCAACAGGAAAAGGTACTAATCTTTCCCTGCTCCTAAAGGGACTCCCCGCTCAGATGAGATCAATTGTCTGCTAGAGCTGGGGCTGAGTCTGAGCCTGAGCCTTCCCTCTTCATGGTCTACACCCTGTGGTCTCTCACCACCAGGAAGCTAGTACTCACTTGAGCATTCAATTTCCCATCAATCCTTTCAAACTAAGCCCAATTCAATCCTCCTCTTGGAAGGTTTGCCCTCCGGCCCTTATCTACAAACTGCACACATCCTAACAATTTCCACAGTGATTTATTTATAATTATACTCCTTGCCCTTTCCCCTATCTGGGCCCTCATAGTGAACCAATGAGTTTTCGTTTGTTGGTGGGTTGAATTTTCTGTAGATAACAGGGCATCAGCAAGAGTTACCTGGTATAGTCCATACTTTTCAACTTCTATAATTTTCACCATTAGAGTGCTGAGACTTTAGGTTAAAGCAAAAATGCAGTTTCCCCCTAGAAGGTAGCACCTTATGCCATTAATCTCAGTATGAATGAATTTATCTGAGATTGGCAGTGGTCATGTCAAAAGAAAAGGGGTGATGGGGATTGAGACATAAGAGAAGTAAGTTTTAATGAGACTAAGGGAATAGATTCTGATGTGTGCTGCCTGGGGAGCCCAGACTCTGCTAGTGGGCTGTGATGAGGTTAGCAAGAGAGCATTCCGAGCTTCATGGGAGAAGAGGGCAAGTGGTATCCGAGATAAAATTCATCTCCACCATTCTGCCAGGGGCCAGCTCTGAGAGAATGCATACAAAGGATGTGAATTTTACCACATAAAAAGACTAGTATGTATTATGAAGGTATTGATTGTTAAAATGAGAGACTGTGAGAATTGTGTAAGCCAAACTGACTCCATCTTATAAAACTGATTCCATTTTGAGACTTAAGTTTCATTTTCCTATAAACTCCACCTGCTTGCTAATCATGGGAATTGAATGATATCCTGTTTCACATCTGGAAAAGTCTACCTGCTTGCTCTCCTGTCCCAAATCTTGAAATTCACACATCCTCTCCCAGCTCAAAAAGCCCATAATCTTTCCTCCAATTAGAAATCAGATTTCTTGTATCCTGTTAATTGTTGTTTTCTTTTAATGCATAAAAATCTGTCTCCCCCTGCATTTGGGGTCCAGTATAAAGCTGAGGAGGCCTGGTCTCGATTTATGTCATTGGCATGCATTGCTTAATAAATTGATATGCTCTGAAGCTCGAACTTTTGTTTCCTCAGTAATTTCAGATTTTAATATGACAGTTTTTGGCGAAGCCAGCTAGACTGAGAAAGGACTCCAACCCCCAGGATGGCATCTTAGTTTTATGGAAGACTGCTCTGGAGGTAGTACTACCCCCTTGACTTCAAATTCTTTGGAGCTAAGGTAAAGTTTACTCCCACACTGCTGGGGAAGACATACTCCCTTTTAAGGGGACAGTGAGTTTCGGTATTAGTAAAATACCAAAGGATTCCCCCTTGGAAAAATTTCTTTTGGCATGAGACCAGGGGAAGAATTCATTGTTAAACTAACACCCCCTCTTAGGGAAATTCTCATCGGCCTGGAAACAAGCATAGATTCCTGTACAAGAGTAAAAGGGGTGAATAAAAGATAGAGCTCTCAAATTATGCTTAAAATATATAAAATACAAATGGGTCTCAAATTTTACCTGAAGAAGAAACCTTTAATTACTGCAAGTTTTGGAAAATTGTGCACATTAACCTTTTCTGTCTTATCATCATTTTGTCTATTTTTATGTCTTCGCAAAATGCTCAGAAAAAAAAATCTTTGTCTTGTGTCATGTTTAGTGTTTGTAGATTCTACTACCTTGAAAAAATTTCTTAGGGGAAAATGCAGCCAGCCAGAAAAACTTCTGAAAAGCAGCAGCCAAAGAATTTGGTATACTGGGGAAGATTAATGAAGTTTCAGACTGGAAGCAGCTTTCCCAAACTTCTGTAATCTGATGCTAAACTCTGTCCCAGTAAGCAGGACTAACTCCCACTTTAGGCTTCCCTGATGCTAAACTCTGTCCCAGTAAGCAGGACTAACTCCCACTTTAGGCTTCCAGCAAAAGATTAGGTTACAAAGACAAAAAAAAGACCTTCAGTATACTTTCTCTGTCATTTCAGCCCTGGTCAGCATGGAATTACAGAGATAAAGTCAGATAATCAAAGAAAGGAGAACTTTTTTCCTAGTGTGTAGGAATTTGTGGCATTATATATGAATTAAGATTGCAAATTATATTAACTGCTAAAAACATCTTAGTAGATTTTAGAGGTTTGGAGATTAAGGAGATTGGAGATTCATCTTTAAGGAATTTGGAGATTAATCATTTTAAGATTGCAGGGGAGAACTCCTGGGACTTAGGGTAACTCCAGGAACTCATTTGCTTCTCTTTATCCTATCTGATAAGTCACTTAGCAGAAGCTAAACATATCTTAGTGAGTTTTGGGGTAACACTCTGTAGAATTTGTTTTAAGGAAAAATGAGAATTAAATTCTGTAAAAGTTTTAGGGGTAAACAGCACTTAGATTACTTTTTCTCTGATGATAATAAACCTGTTATCTTAGCGTAATGAAGGAAGGCAGCTAGTTTGACAGTAATCCCAGAGGGAAGAAAAAAAAGGTATGAAGTTTGCATTTTAAATTTATCTAGAACTTAATAGCCACCTCTTATGAACCTTTTCTTAACCATGAAAAGAAAAAAAAAAGCTTGTTTATATCAGAGAGCAACTTAAAAATGAGTAAAATTTAACTAAGGAATAGAAAGAGTAGATTTAAAGTGAAGAGGGGTCTAGGTGGAATGACCACTTACCCCCCCCCCATCACCTGGGCCTAGACCCTGGATAGATATTCACAGTGACAAGAAGTAGGGGAGGTGACCAGAAACTGGAAATATCTTTTGGGAAGGCGCAAATAGAACTTTAAAAGCTTTGTATAATGGAATTAATTGTTTAGGTAAACTAGAAGCAAAATCACCAAAGAAAGTTAAAAAGAAACCATTTGTAAGCTCTTAGGAGCCTAAAAGGATAACAGTATTGCAACTAGTTGGGATTGTGCAAAATTTTGTGCTGAACTGCAAAGGAGAAATTCTATAAAATAAAGATTAGTTTGAGATATGATTAGGAAATATAATACTCTGCTCCTAAAAGACCATTCGGGGGGCATATTCTCCAGCCTTGAGAATTTCATGAGTTCCAAAGCAAGGGGATGGGAATGTAGGGCTGCCACTCCCTATCATTTGCTCAGGATTAAAACTGAAAAGCCTCAGGGAGAGGGAGGATGAGGCTAGGTTATTAACATAAAAGGAACTGATTTAGCTCTTTGGGTGATTTTTGGAAGAAAATAAATAAAAGGTTTATGGAAAGGTCAAAGTGCTACCATGAACCTTTGCAAATGAGCTGTTAACTCTGAGCTCTAAATTTTAAAGCATAGGTGATGATAGCCCTGGAAAATTGAGATTTTGATGCTGTGGTTGATTTGGTTGAAATTTGTCCTGTAACTAAATTATGGTATGGTTAAGTGTGATCTCATATTAATTGTGGCATCAAGTGAAAAAAATGTTGAAAAAATGCAGGGAAACCCGAGTTACATTCTTATCTCAGAAATTTATTAGCTGTGTGATCTTAAGAAAGTTATCTTAGGGGCAGCTAGGTGGCGCAGTGGATAGAGCATCAGCCCTGGATTCAGGAGAACCTGAGTTTAAATCCAGTCTCAGACACATATCACTTACTAGCTGCGTGACCCTGGGCAAGTCACTTAGCCCTCATTGCCCAACAAAAACAAAACAAAACAAAACAAAACAAAACAAAACCAAAAAAGTTATCTTATCAAGATACAATAGTCAAGGACTATAGTAATCTACTATTTGATAAACCCAAAGACTCCAGCTTCTGGGACAAGAACTCACTATTTGACAAAAACTTCTGGGAAAACTGGAATATAGTATAGCAGAAACTAGGCATAGACCAACATCTTATAAAGTATACCAAAATAAAATCAAAATGGGTACATGATTTAGATATAAAGGCTGATACTATAAGCAAACTGGGAGAACAAGGAATAGTTTACCTGTCAGATTTATGGAGAATGGAAGAATTTATGACCAAACAAGAGATAGAGAACATCATGAAATGCAAAATGGATAATTTTGATTACATTAAATTGAAAAGTTTTTGCACAAACAAAGCCAATGCAACTAAGATTAGGAGGGAAGCAGAAAACTAGGAAATAATTTTTACAACCAGTGTCTCTGATAAGGGCCTCATGTCTAAAATATATAGAGAACTGAGTCAAATTTATAAGAATACTAGTCGTTCCCCAATTGATAAATGGTCGAAGGATATGAACAGGCAGTTCTCAGAGGAAGAAATTAAAGCCATCTATAGTCATATGAAAAAATGCTCTAAATCACTATTGATTAGAGAAATGCAGATCAAAACAACTCTGAAGTACCACATCACACCTATCAGACTGGCTAACATGACTAAATAGAAAAATGATACATGTTGGAGAAGATGTGGGAAAACTGAAGCACTAAGGCATTGTTGGTGGAGTTGTGAACTGATCCAACCATTCTGGAGCACAATTTGGAACTGTCCCTAAAGGGCTACAAAAATGTGCATACCCTTTGACCCAGCAATACCACTTCTAGGTCTGTATCCCAAAGAGATCATTCTAATGAGGAAAAAACCCACATGTACCAAAATATTTATAGCAGCTCTTTCTGTGGTGGCAAAGAATTGGAAATTAAATTGACAGGATACCCATCAATTGGGGAATGGCTGAACAAGTTGTGGTATATGAATGTATTTGTTTGGTGTTTTTTTTTTTTTGGGCTAGGCAATGGGGTTAAGTGACTTGCCCAGGGTCACACAGCTAGTAAGTGTTATGCATCTGAGGCCAGATTTGAACTCAGGTCCTCCTGAACCCAGGGCCAGTGCTCTATCCACTGCACCACCTAGCTGCCCCTGTGGTATATGAATGTAATGGAATACTATTGTGCTAGAAGAAATGATGAACAGGGGGCAACTTGGTGGCACAGTGGATAGAGCACCGGCCCTGAAGTCAGGAGGACCTGAGTTCAAATCTGGCCTCAGACCAAACACTTGACACTTACTAGCTGTATGACCCTGGGCAAGTCACTTAAACCCAATTGCCTAAAAAAAAAAGAAAAAGAAAAAAGAAAGAAAAGAAAAAGAAATGATGAATAGGCTGACTTCAGAAAAACCTGGAAAGACTTGTATGGATTGATGCTGAGTGAAGTGAGAAGAACCAGGAGAATGTTGTACACAGTAACAGCCACATTGTGCAATGACTAACTTTGATAGACTTAGCCCTTCTCAGCAACACAAGGATCTAAGACATCTCCAAAGGTCTCATGATGAAAAATGTTATCTACATCCAGAGAAAGAACTATGGAGTTTGAATGCAGATTGAAGCATACTATTTGCTACTTTTTTCCTTCTGTTTTATTTTGTTTCCTCTTTCTTGTGGTTCCTCTTATTGGTTCTAATTCTTCCTTACAACATGACTAATGTAAAAATATCTTTGATAAGAATATATATGTAGAGCCTATATTAGATTATATGCCATCTTGGGGAGGGAAGTGGGGAGGGACAAGGAGAAAAATTTAAAACTCAATAGCTTATGGAAGTGAATACTGAAAACTAAAATTAAATTAATAAACTTTCAAAATAAAATAAAATAAGATAAAATAAAAAGAAGATACTTCCCAGTGGTCTTTTCTTGGTACATAATATTGATGGTATGAGCATATTAAAAATCTTATAAATTTGGCTTATAGATAAGTGACCTAAGGCGGGGGAGTGGACTAGCCTCCTCTCCAATGAATCAAAGGAGGGAATTGAGAGAATTGTGGGAATTGTATAAACCCAAGTGACTTCATCTTGTAAAACTGACTTCATTTTGAGACCTAAATTTCACTTTCCTATAAATTCTACCTGCTTGCTAATCATGAAATTGAGTGACATCCTGTTTCAAATCTGGAAAAATCCATCTGCTCAGTCTCCCCTGTCCCAACTCTTGAGACTCACTCACCCCCCCCCGACCCCAAACTCAGAAAGCTTTAATTTTTCCTCCAGTTAAAAATCAGATTACCTACCCTTGTATTCTGGTTTATATCCTGTTAATTGTTTTCTTTTAATGCATAAAAAATTTGTCTCCCTCTGCATTCGGGGTCCAGTCCTGGTCCCGATTTGTTATGCAATTGGCAAATGCTATGATTTCCTTGGTGATGCTACTCCCTGTTCTGACACAGATGGCCATTTGTGTCCAATTGCCAATGCTTAATAAATCAATATGCTCAGGAAGCTCAAACCTTTGTTTTTTCAATTATTTCAGATTTTACCCATCACAAAAGTCACATTAATTTTGTTCTGTACTTACGTATTTGAGAGAACTTGAGAAAGGAAGGCTCCTTGGGATGGTTGCCCTAAAAGAAAAATCATTATTTGCTTGTAACATTTGAAGAGAGACAGAGACAGAGGCAGAGAATGAATACCTCTTGGTCTCAGGCCATTTGAAAATGTAAGAGCAACTCCCAAATTCGGTATTTGTTCTTCTGCTGGGAGGCAATGTGAATGTGTTAATTATTAATTTAATTCATCCACTTCCTCAAAGTTTGGGTGGTTGTCCATGTGTTTCTGTCTTCCCACTCAAATACTGTCTAGCTTACATTATAAGTTCCCAGAGGGTAGGAAGTGGCTTCTGTCAATTTGCTTAGGACATTAGCTTGCAAAACTCTGCAGGTAGACAGGGACTGAATAAATAGTTTGGGATAATGGTGGTGATAATATAAGCCTTTACAAAGAACTTGTATGTAGGTAGCCATACAGGGTGATGGATACAATAGTCTGTCCATACTTATAACATTCCTGTGGAAATACAATTAAAAGATAGAATTCTCATAGAAAGATCTATTTCAAGGGCTCTTATCCCATTTTTGTGTCCTGGATCCCTTCTCAGAATGTTTAACATAAAGTACATAGGGGTCCAAAGGAAACCAATTATATGGAAGTACAATTATCAAAATGGTTTTAAAAATAAGCTCACAAATCCCTAGTTAAGGACCTCTAGTCTATTTGAAATTAGCTCATGCTTAGAGAGTTATTCAGGGTACTTCCCCTTTGAGCTTGGTATTTACAGGATCAGAGATTGAGGTCTAGGAGGGACCTCAGAGGCCACTGAGTCCACTTCCACCTCCATTTTTCCCGCAAGGAAATTGAGGCACAAAAAGTGACTTGCACAAGGGCCTAAAATTAGTAATGTCTGAGTATGGATTTGAACCTAGGTCCTCATGACTCCAAGTCCAGTACTCCTAGGCTGTACCCTTTTTGAGTTCAGAGTGGGAGGCAAGTTCAGAGTAAAGGCTAACTGGTAACTCTTTTATTTCTCTCAGTACTTCAAGGTGCTATGATTTCCTTGGTGATGCTACTCCCTGTTCTGACACAGATGGCCATTTGTGTCCAACCTTGGATAGACCATTTTTATAAGTTGCTGTGGCCCAAAGAATTCATCACCTATAGATGAGCACCTGGCGGTGAGCCTTGCCCAATTCAGTTCAGCCGGTTCCTGGATGACAGAGCAGGGGTCCATACTAGAAATCTTTCCAGCTTGGGAGGATTGGCCAGCTCAGCTTCCCTCCATTGTCTCAACTTTAACATTTTGGCTGATTTGGCTCTCTGCCTTAATTTACATTTACATCTATCTCTAGTTAACATCTGGCCTCTGTGTAGTTGGGGCAAAGTTCAGGTAGCCAGGAACATTAGGACAGGAAACTGAGGGGGAAAAAGCAGACCTTTGTCTTGAAACTTCCCTTAACTTTGAGTAGAGGGGTACGACTTGTGGTGTCAACTTGCCTCTTGCGCTCTGTGATGCCTTCCTTGATATCTCCCTGGAGCTCCATTTTGAAAAGGAACAAGGTCCAGGATACCTCTGCTGTGCTGAGCTATCACTCTAAGCAGACAACAGCTAGAATAGTATATTCAGTTCTGGATGCTACATTTAGGAAGGACATGACAGTACAGTCTGTCCATTACAATACAAACTTAATATTTTGACTTGAAGCCCATCACTCAAGACAACCAGACTATGAACTGCGAGCCTTCTAGGATTTAGCCCTGAGGCTCTAATTAGAATCTCATTCAACTGCTGCAATGCCATAAGGCATCTGCTTTGTCTTGGAGGTGGGGATGCTGTTTGTTTATAATTATGTGGACCTCACCATCCTCTTTTCTCTCTCTGTTCCCCTCACCTGCTTTACCTTCACTCATCTCTGCTCTTTCCTTGAAGGAAGCCCCACCCTCCTCTGGGAAGCCCTTTGCCCATTTTTTCTCATGTGATCTGCTTGTGGGTAGCTGTTGTTGATTATCATAACGTGGCCAGCCTGCCTCCCCAACTCTGACAATAATGATAATAATAACTCACATTTACATGGCACTTTAAGGTTTGTACAGTACTTTACAAAGATTCTCTCATTTGATCTGATAGACTGTAAGCCCCTGGAGCAGTTTGTTCTGCGGCCCTCATCTCTGTAGTACCTGGCACACTAAGTACACAGTGAGTGACAGTGACAATTTACCTATCTCAAAGGGACAGCTTGGCCTCTTGTTGGTCAGTCTGTCGTACAGGGTTGTGGGGTGCTCTCTCTGTACATATCACATGCAAACAAAAGGAGAAAAAAGGCTGTTAAAACATCTGCTTAGGGGGCAGCTAGGTGGCACAGTGGATAGAGCACAGGACCTAAGTTCAAATCTGGCCCCAGACACATAACACTTACTAGCTGTGTGACCCTGGGCAAGTCACTTAACCCCATTGCCTAGCCAAAAAAAAAAATCTGCTTAAACTTGTTTTTTTTACAATGAAGAGAAACAGAAATTGAAAGCATTCAAGATCTTATTTTGAAAGTGAACAATATTTCCCTCATCAGAAGAAATGTACAAGCAGAATTTATTCTAAGTAAACAAAAATTCTTCATAGACTTCATAGTCCCCCAGGATAACTTAAGTGAAGTCAGCCTAGAGGAACAGAAAGAAACCTCGAGAGTTTCCATCAGAGGCAATCAATCCATGGAGGCAAACTTGGGGGAGGTTTTGAAAGGGTAAAGCAGATGTTCAGAGTCATATCTGGCTTTTTGGCCAGTGATCCTTGTGGCATAAGCTCTGCTTAGAGAGTACAGCTGTCTTGTTTATTGTTGTTATTCATTTGTTTCAGTCATGTCTGACTCTTTGTAACCCCATTTGGGGTTTTCTTGCAAAGATCCTGGAATGGTTTGCCATTTCTTTCTCCAGCTTATTTTACAGCTAAAGAAACTGAGGCAAACAGGGTTAAGTGACTTGCCTAAGGTCACACAGCTAGTAAGTATCTGAGGTTGGGTTTAAATTCAGGATGATGAGTCTTCCTGGTTCCCAGTTCAATGCTTTATCCACTGCAGTGCCACCTAGCTGTCCATTCTCTTGTTTACACAGACCCTCCAATCCTGCAGGCTCTGAGGAGGACCATGCCTTCATATTGGTTTCCAGGCTCAACAACTGAACATCATCATCATGGTAACTAGCATAATGTGTATAGTGTTTCAAGGTTTGCAAAGAGCTTTACAGATATTTTTTCATTGGATCCTCACACCAAACCTAGGAGGGAGGGCTATCATCATCCTTATGTTACCAATGAGGACACCAAGGCAGAAAGAGGTGAAGTGACTTGCCCAGAGTCACTCAGAAAATAAGTGTCTAAAGCTGGATTTGAACTTCCTGACGCCAGGCCCTGTACTTTATCCACCATCTAGCTACCTTCAGGAACAAATCTGGGGCCTATGGATTTTCCTTACTGGCTTTCTTATAGGATAGGAAAAATTAAGCAGAAGCTGTAGTGTAAGAGCCCTTTAATAAAAAAAAAAGGGTTCTGTACTCTGCTCATAGTAAGTACTTAGCACATTTTGTTCGATATAGAATGAAGTGAGTTTACGGGCCATTTGGTTTTCTTTTTCCTTGGCCAAAGTGTTTATCATCCAGTTTGTTCCCCATTTTGTTCCTCAGGGGACATGCCTTTTGCTTTCTCATGGGTAAAGCAGACCATTGAGGATAGAGTGCTGGACTAGAGGATCTGCATTCAGATCCTGCCTCGGAATCAGCTAGGTGGCCCAAAGCAAGTCACTTCATTGCATACTCCATAAATTGAGAAGTTAAGTGACCTGTCCAAGGTCAGAAAGTGAGTTAATGACTGATCCAGAACTAGACATCATTTATTTCCATAGCAAGTGACAAGGCTAATGGTAACTTTTTCCCTTGATGGTATAGAATTTCTTTCAAATAATGTGGACCACATAGCTCAGAAGATTAGAGTTCATAGGGCCTCTGAGGCCTAAGTTGTTTTTCAACATCTGGAAAGATCTATAAATGCCACATGAAGGAAATGTCCTCTATGGCATCTTGGGAATTATTTGCCACTGGTCACAAGGGGGTAAGGTGATACAGTATGGAAGGCCCAGCACAATCATCTACCATTAAAAACAAGCATTCAAAAGTAATTTCTTTGTTTGGTGACGATTCAGTAACTCTCCTTGGTTTGAGTCAGGTAAGGTAATGTGGGCACCTGGAATTTTTAATCTCTGACCTCATTTAGTACTTCATTGCCTTAGATGGAGCCTCTTCAAACTAAATCTGTGATTTCGTTAGTGGGAGTACCCTCTTTACCAACACAGATTGCAGCCCTTATATACCTGAATTGATAGCTTTCATGAGTTGTTGTGGCTGAAAAAAATAATGCTCCAGTGATCAAGCTTCAGGCAATGAGCCCCTCTTCCTTAAACTAAGCTGGTTTTTGGAGGACAGATATACCAATTTGTTGCTGGGCTCATCCTTGAAGCCTTTCTCACCTGGCATAGCTTGGATTCTGCTGAGATAGCCTTTGATAACCCAGCATCCCTCCTGTGCCACAATGGAGGCTTGGGAGAACTCCAGTGGACCACTGATACCTAAGGCTTATCTAATATATTTTGTTTTGTTTTGTTTTTTATTAATTAATTTATTTTTAGTTTTCAACATTCACTTCCATAAGATTTTGAGTTTAAAATTTTCTCCCCCTCCCTCCTCACCTCCCTCCCTAAGACAGCATGCAATCTGATATAAGCTTTATATCATCTAATATATTTTTTTAAAAACTTCCTTCCACCATTTTTTGCAAGCCTGCAAACTTTCCATCAATCCCTTATAACACCTACAGTGCCCTGGTGACAACAGCTTTGATGGCAATGAGCAACAGTAGACTTTCAGCATTAATATTCTGAGATGACTTATAAATTTTAAAATATCTTTCTGTGGCCTGACTGCATTCAGGGAATTGGTATATGAACTCAGGGTGAGCCACTTAGCTCAATAATAAATCAAGTAGAGAGCAACCCATATTAATGCCATGTCATTTTTATACAAATACTAACTCCTTACCTTAGATGGTCTGTTTAGTTCTGGGACAAATGTAATATAATTATATATGTCTTCCTTTGGAGGAGCTCCTGTTAAAGATGATGAAGGTTTGATGATATTCTTAATGGATGAATTTTGAACTGGAAGAAATGAAAGTTATTGAGTTGAGAGATTTGGTATTCTTGAGAGGGCAAATACCTCTAAATAGGAATGGTTTGTTAGAGTTGGAATGGATGCTTGTTGCACAGGTGTGACCTGATGAGGAAGCAACCACTGAAAGTCCTTTTCAGATATCTGCCCAATGGCTTATCACAGGGCCTGGAATTCCTAAATTTAATGGAGTTAAACCATTGTCTCCAAGAGTCCCCTCTGAAAGTGCAGCTACTCATAGAAATGAGAAATGTTAAGGTGTAATCAGTCATTTACAAGATGAGATAGATAAAAAATCTTGAGAGGAATGAAATCTATTCGGGTATACATTATTAATATCAATAATCTGGGAATATGATATATTAAAAGAATATCCCTCTTGGGAAGGAATACTAAAAAAAAACTTATAAAGATGGAAAATAACAAAGGAAACATTGAAATCAGGAACAAGCATTTCTATAGCACTTTAAGGTTTGCAAAGTGCTTAACGAATATTATGTCATTTGGTCATGACAGCCCTGGGCGGTAGATGCTATTTCCATTCTCCATTGAGGAAACAAGAAAGAAGAGAGATTTGTCCATGACTAGGGTCATACAGCTATACGTAAGTGTATGAGGTTGCATTTGAATCCAGGTCTTCCCAACTCCCAAGTGCAAAACTATCCACTGCATCACCTAGTGACCCTCGGCAGAATAAATGTAGTGGAGAAAAAGACGGAAGGTAATGGAGCCAAAGTAGAAGAAGCAACTCAGAAAATAATTGAACTGGAAAAATTGGATTTGGGTGCAATGCAAGAAAAAGTTAGGATTTGAGGCCTGATCTCCCCGAATCACAAAGTTTTAGAGTTGGAAGGGACATGAGCAGCCCTGAGTCCAACATATACCTCCAAAGGAATGGCACACTTCTAGAGGAGGAAGAGAAGGACCACTGAAAATTTGGAGCTCTGAAAACAACTATAAGGTGCTTCCTAAAGAAGACAAAGGAACTGAATGCTCTGAGCAGAAAGCATCTGCTTGTCCTCCAAGAAAGGAGCAAGTAATCCATAGGGCCTGTCACAGGGGATGGAGGAGGGGAAGAAGACTGAAGAAGGTTGGGAATTGCCTGCACCAGACTATTGAGATAGGGCTTTTTTTGTCCTATCTCAGTAACAACAGCAGAGCGGTCTGCTATTTTCTTACGTAAGGCAAGATTGGTCAGAATGCATTTTCTGATCCTGGGCTCCTAGATCTAGCGCTGAAAGGGACCTCAAAGGTTCTCTAACCAGTGGTGTCAGACTCAAATAAAAATGGACCCCTGCGGGCCACATATTGATTTAGAAATTTTATCACAAATTAACATGATCTATGTTGTATTGGATTTTTATTTATTTTGTTACACATTTCCAAATTATATTTTAATCTGGTTCTGGCTGTGCTCAGGAGTTTGGCTAACCAGGAGTTTGATATCCCTGATCTAGTTCAACCCTCTTATTTTACAGATGAGGAAACTGAGGCCCAGGGATGAGAGATGACTTGGTCAAGGTTACACAGACTGCCTAATACCAATTTCTGGTGATTCTCACGGACACAAAAAAGACACTAAAAACAACATCGAAGATTAGGAAGTCTTTGGCAATAAACTGAAGACCCTTGGCAAAGAACTGGAAATTGAGAGGATGCTCATCAATTGGGGAATGGCTAAACAAGTTGTGATCTATGATTGTAATGGAATACTACTGTGCTGTAAGAAGTGATGAGGAGGTTGATTTTAGAAAAACACGGAAAGACTTGCATGAAATAATGCAGAGTGAAATGAGCAGAACCAAGAGAATGTTGTATACAGTAACAGCAATATTGTTCAAAGCATAACTGCGAACAATTAAGTTATTCTGAGTATTATAAATACTCAGATCAACTACAAAGGACCTATGAAGGAAGATGCTATCTACCTCCAGAGAAAGAATTGATAAATAGAAGTATTCATAGTATGGTTTTACATATATATGTATATATGTAATATATAATATGTGTGTATGTGTGTGTGTGTGTGTGTGTGTGTGTGTGTATATATCTATATATATATCTATATATATATATATCTGTGACAAATGGTGGCCTTTCTCTAGTGTAGGGGAGGGAGGGAAGGAGACAGCTCTGAACTTAAAAAGTAACAAAAAAATAAATGAAAAAACTGAAAACCCCCTGGGTGGCACAGGTCAAGTTTTCATTACTATGGCTCATAGACAGTTATGATGCAGAAGAGCTAAATAGATTTGGGAGGCAAATATTTGGTCAATAAGACAGGCATGGAGTCAGGAAGTTGCTGTTGTTTTTCAGTCATGTCTGACTCTTCATGACCCCATTTTGGGGTTTTCTTGGCAAAGATACTGTAGTGGTTTGCCATTTCCTTCTCCAGCTCATTTTACAGATGAGGAAGCTGAGGTAAACATGATTAAATGACTTGCCCAGGGTCACACAGCTAGTAAGTGTCTGAGGCCGGATTTGAACTCAGCTCTTCCTGACTCCAGGCATGGTGATCTATCCACTGTGCAACCTAGCTGCTCCTCCCTCATGTGTTTTTAATATAGATTAAAGCAAAAGGTACTATAACAGTATTAGACACTGAACAGTATTAACAGTATTAGTTACTGTTAATAACAGTATTAGTACTGAAGTTTTGATTGGGACAATGGGCCTTCACAACCTGCTGGAACTCAAGGTTATTGAGATGCCTTCTCTGCCTGGGCATAATGCCAATCCTGCTTTATTTTATAAATTCCATAAGAGTATGTGCTTACTGCTGTAAGCTGCTGAGAAATACTAGTTAATAATAGCTCTGGAGAATGGAAAGAACAATGGACTCAAGAGTCAGAAGACCTGAATGCAAGTCCTGGCAGCATCACTTATTTTTTTTTTCATTTTAGGCAATTGAGGTTAAGTGACTTGCCCAGGGTCACACAGCTAGTAAGTGTCAAGTGTTTGGTCTGAGGCTGGATTTGCACTCAGGTCCTCCTGACTGCAGGCAGCCAGTGCTCTATCTACTGCACCATCTAGCTGCCCCCACTATCACTTATTAGCAATTTCTTCTTTTATAAGACAAGGCATAATAATCCTTGCCCTACCCTCCTCATAGCTACTACAAACAACTAACCAAATGGGGGTTATAATTGTTATTAATTTAAATAACAGGACAGTCCATAAGCCCAGATTTGGGGGGTAAGTCTGTTTTACCTCCAGTTTCTATTCCACTTGTCTTTTTAGTCAAAACTCCATCATGCCGTATGAAAGAGCAAAACAAAGTCTGTTAGTAATTCAAATCCTGATAAAGATTTTTGCTGTTCATAAGCCAATCAACTAGACACAGAATTTCTGCTAAGTACTATACCTTTGGTTTAGGGGCTACCCCATGTGCAAACTCAATACCTTCCTGGTCTTTTCAGCTACATTTTAAGTTCTCCAGGGGGTAGAGGAGGCAGTCTCTAAGGTCCCTGCCCACTCTACCACCTATGACATCCCAGCAGCTCACAGGGCTGCTGGTAAAAAGCATGATTTGTAAAACTATAGAACATTCTTGATTCTGCCACTTATTAGCTATGTGACCTTATCTCAGTTTCTTTATCTGTAAAATGAGGATAAAAATATTGTACTCTCTAAGCCTCTAAATTTCAAAGCAGTTACTGATCTGCACTAATAGAAGGAGGTCCCTCACACATGGGAGCTCCCTACACACTAATGAAGTCATAAGATGAAGGATATAATATATCTATAGATATTACTATAGGGCTAATAGATAGATGTCAGTATCTGTATAAAGCTCGTTACCTACCTCACAAGGTTGGTCACAACATTTACTTAATGCAACAAGCATTTATTAAGCACCTGTTGCTATGCATTGCATTCTGGGATACAGGGATAGAAAAAAAAACCTGTTCCTATTCTTAAGAGGCAGTGGAGAGGAGAGAGATTACAACATGGACACAGACAATTGTGAACAATAATACATGATAATTTGAAGACAGCGTATTAGCAACTGGGGAGGCTTCAGGAAGAGGTGGACTCTGAAGGAAGTTCAGGGTTCTGGGAGGTAGAGACAAGGAAAGGAGAGCTTTGTGGGGTTGAGTTGGAGAGGCAGGCTGGGGGCAGATTACAGTGGTCTTGAAGACCAGAATCAGGAGCTGATATTCTATTTTTGTAAGCAATACAGAGCCCCTGAAGGTCTTTGAAAAGCAAAATGACATGATTAGAGCAATGTCTGTCTTAGTAACCAACACATATGAAACTTGGAAACTTCATACCCTGGCATCAATAACATCATCATCATTAACGTCACCCGGTGAATATGTGGATGTGACTGACTTCTTGGTCCCACCTTTGTACTACTATGAGAAGGCTGAACAGAGAGTGTTGCATGCTCTGAAGATACCAAAGAGAAATCCCATAAAATTTCAACAAATTAGAACATATAGAGAAAGCCAAGGAGAGTGTAAATCCTATATTATTATTTTTCTAGTTGTCTGAAAGACCTTTATAAGCATCCATCAGATTGAGTAGAGGAGCAGAGGGTTCAAGAAGTACCAATGGATGGAGTTCCCACCCACATGAGATCATTTTTTCTGTGACTTCTCCACTATCTGTTCTTTGGGTCAAAGTATACAGATTAAATACATTCTAGCAACGTCATTCTGTTGTTAAAAGGCATGATGTTGGAATGTTTGAAATAAGACCATGATATATGAGATAGGGCAAGGGATGGATTTGGGATTTCACTGGTGAGGTAATTCCATCTACCAATGCAAGTTGGCACCTTCCTTGCACCTTCCAGTCTTAAAGAGTTGCTTAGAGCAGCGCTTCTTAAACTGTGGGTCGAGACCCCACATGAGGTCACACCCACAGTATAAGAAGGGCTGAAGGGATTGCAAGTGGAAAAAGCTTAAGAAGGCCTGGCCTAGGGCACTGAGACATTGTCACCCAGTCCATATGTGACAGGCACGGCTTGCATGGAGGTCTTCTTGGCTCTAAGAGCTGGCTCTTTACCATGCCACACTACTTCTCACATTGACTCCTACTAACATGTGAAGACGGGAAAGTAACCATTCCATTATTTTCAGGAGGATTTGGGGCTTGATTATAGAAACTGGTCCAACTGTGGTCTAAGAGAGATTTTGGTAAAACAGGCTACTCCCAGAAGGTAAAATACTCAAATGTGTTCTGTTTCTGTTATTTAGTCTAAAGAAAAAAGGAATGAGGGAGAAGATCAGCTGAGCCAGGTTCCTTCCCAAATTCTGCCCTGGGTATGGTATAGCATCCTAATATGTCCATTGAGAGTACAGTTTGGTAACATGACTCCCTGGGCTCAAGATGCTAGAAACACTAGCAGACACATAAAGCTTTAATGTTTACAATCTGCTTTATGTATCTTATCTCACTGGATTATCACAGTAACCCTGTGAAAAAGGATCATTCAGTGCTAGGGTCAGAGTGGGTTTTAGAGATCTGGAGTCTAACCCCCTAATCTGATGGGGAAATTGAAGGCCAGTGGAAGTGTGGGATTTGCCCAAGATCACACAGGTAACAAGTGGCAGAGGCAAGCCCTGAGCCCATGTCTTCTGATTCTCAATCCACTATTCTTTCTTGTAGACCATGCTTCTCTTATCTTCCATTTTACAAATGAGATAACTAAGTGAGGTAGCTCAGAAGGCATCTCACTTTTACAGAACAGGAAACCTGGGCTCAGTGAGAGAGAACAACTAGCCCAAGGTGACCAAGCTGGTCAGTACTAGAGCTGAGATTTGGTCCCAGGTCTCTTGACTCTTTGCTCAGTGCTCTACTCCATACTGCTCTGTCTTAAGACAGGCTCAGAACTCAGCAGCTATGTTTTGATGATGAGAGTGGAAAGAGAAGAGTCGAGGGAAAGGAGGGTTCAACAAGAGAAGAAAGTAGGTGGTGATAAGGTGCCTTTTGTATGGGATCTTTTCTCCTACCTCCAATCTGAGAACAGAGAATGGCGAGATGAGAAAGGATGGCAGCTAAGGAGAGAATAGAGAAATGGTGCGTTTCTTTCAGATTCATTTACAATGATAAAATCAAAGACTTTAGCCCTACAAGGGACCTTAGAGATCATTTGGTCTACTCACCTTCTCCCACCCCAAAGTTTAACAGATGAGAAAACTGGTCAAGAGACTGACTTGTCCAAAGTCACATGGCTAGTAAATGGCAGCCAGGATTTGAAGCCATGTCTTCTGGCTAAATCCAGTGATCTTTCCATGCCATCATTTATAGGGGGCCTAACCCAGGATGGGGTAAAAAGGTAACTGTAGCAGTGCAGGGAACAAAAGGACATTTCTGCATACAAAGTGCTAGAGAGTCACAATAAAATCCTGTCTTGATTATGGATACAGAAAACATGGGGTTGGGAGGGAACCTGGGCTCTGCTTCCTACCAGAAATACTGACTGTGTGACTTTGGGCAAATCACTGCCCTTTCCTGGGCTCAGTGTCTGCCTCTGTAAAATGATGGAATTGGATTAGATGATCTCCAATGTCCCTTCCATCTCTAACATCATTTGATTTGGGGATCTGAGGGGAGGAGAAGAAAGGAATGGTGTTAAGCTAAAACATAGGCAAGGAAATCTGGCTGACTAGAGCACAGAGAATAGTAGGAAATAAATTGGATGGCGTGGGTCAGCTAGAATGGCAGAGAGGGCCAAATCAAAAGTAAGATATCCTTTTTCTTCTAAATGAACATTTAAAAGGCCATTGAGTTTTGAGTCGTGCTGGACCTTGGTTTAGATTTTGGCCTGGCTACTTCCTTCTATGACCTTGGACAGATCCAAAGGTTTCAGTTTCCCTATCTGTAACGTGAGGGGGTCGGGCTAGATGAAAGGCTTCTAAGGTCTTCTCCAGATCTAACATTCTATGATTCTAATGAATCTATATTCAAATGCCACTTGCAAAAAGGACCACTTTGGGAGACAGTGTTATGTTGGTTCTATAAATGGGTTTCGTTCTGCAAATATGGTAGGATTCTATGAGGGCTTCTCTTTAAATCTGTGAATCATTCAATAAAAATATCTACACGAAATCCTCATAAAGTCAGTGAGGATATAAAATTCTTTTCAAAACATGGCTGAAAGAGATTTTTACTGACTAGGAAAGTAATCTCTTTAAAATCTAATTGAGGATTTTCTTTTAAGCATTTGGCAACTTAGTATCTTTTGCATAAATGCAAACAAAAACTTTCGATGAAAGGTAGGAAAGGAAGGATGATTGAGGCATTAAAAAAGAGCCTTCATTTGGGACCCAAGAGACCACGCTTGGAATCCCAACTCAGGTACTTTATTAACTGTGTGACGTTGAGCAAGTCACTGTTCCTTTGAGCCATGGTATCATTTGTAAAATGGACATATTTGTACTACCTGCTTCTCAGGGTAGCTGGAAGAATTCAGTGAGATAAGTGGTGGATGTGAAACCACTTTGTAAACTCTAAAGCACTGTGTGCATGCTATACTATACTACTCTCTCTCTCTCTCTCTCTCTCTCTCTCTCTCTCTCTCTCTCTCTCTCTCTATATATATATATATATATATATATATATATGTATATATATATAAATATTTATATACGAATGATATTTTATAGTATATATCATTATATATGTCAGTGTCTATCATTATTATATAGTATATATTTTAGTGTGTGTGTGTGTATGTGTGTATATATGTGTGATAGGTCCCAAACTTTGCATACGTAGCAGGAAGCAGAGTCAGGAGGAGTGTAACTGAGGCTGAGGCCTGGCCCAGTTCAGCCCTCACAGACCATCCATTGCTGCTGTATAGCAGCTATTGGAAAATACCAGGGGAAACAGGATTTATGTCCTCAGCTTTTGCTCAAACTACTTCACAGTCATTTTAGCATTTCTTTTTCAAGATATTTCAATTACTTTTAAATCCTCGAGATGTTTTCTGTTCAGGCACTTTGGGGTCTTCATTCTTTTTCTTTTTCTTCTTTGGTGAAATAACTTATAGAAAGATAATGAGAAAAGTTCTTTTACAATGGTGAAGGCCAAGTGATCTATTCTCTAGTCTCCTTTTATACCCACATGAACACTGATTGTATCTACATGCCCATGGTGGGGGTGAGGGTGGGGAAGGAGGGGAAAGAGAAAAGGGGGTGGGGGTGGAGAGAGAGAAAAATAGAGCCAGAGCCAGAGAGTGAGTGAGAGAGAAGGAAAAGAGCCAGAGCGAGGAGAGAGCATAACAGATAGAGATAGTGAATGAGAGAGAGAGAATGAGAGACACAATGAGAAAGATAATGGGGGAGAGGGATTGAAAGAGAGGGAACAAAAGAGAGACAGATCATAAAGACAGAGTGAGAGATAGAGAATGAAAGAGAATGAGAGATAAGAGAGGCAGAAAATGAGAGTATGAGAAAGAGAATGAGAGAGGTAAAGAGACTGAGGTAGAAAGATTGAAAGAGAACAAAAGAGATAATTAGAGAGAGACTGAATGAGAAAGAATACGAGAAAGAGAGACAGGGAGAAACAGATGGTGAAAGAGAGTGTGAGAGGTTGAGAGACAAAGTGAAAGAGAGAATGAGAGAGAGAGATGGAAATGGAAAATTTGAGAGAAAGAGAGGAAGAGATAGAGTAATACATAGAGAGAACAAGGGGGCAGGACAAAGAATGAGAGACAGGATGAGGGAGAGTGAGAGAGAGACAGGAAATCAGAGAGAGGAGAGCGGGAGACAGAGAATGAGAGAGAGAATAAGAGAGAGAGATTGAGAGAAGCAAAGAGACAGAATAAGAGAGGAGAGAGAGAAAGAGAATGACAGACAGAATGAGGTAGGGAGATGGAAAGAGAGAAAAGAGACATAATGAGAGCAACAGAGAATTAGAAAGGAGACAAGGGAATGAGAGAGAGGAGAGACAGAATACAGGAGTGAACAAGAAAGAAAAGGAGAGATACACAGAATAAAAGAAGGAGAGATAGAGAATACAAGAGAAATACAGGAAGCAAGAGAGACGGAGTGAGAGATGGATGGATGGAGAAGGAGAGAGGGAGGCAGAAGGAGACAGGAGAGAGGGATAGGAAGGAGGAAAAGAGGGTGAGGAAGAAGGAGAAAGAGAGAGAGAGAGAGAAAAGAAAGGAGGGAGGGAAGAGAGGGACAGAAAGAGAAGGAAAGATGAAAAGAGGGAGAAGGGAGGGACAGAGCAATCAAGAGACAGTGAGTAAGAGAGGCCTGCGAGTGAGAATGTGCCTCAGAGCCAGGAAGAGATCCAGAGGGACAAACAGCTCAACAGCCTGCACTTAGCTACCTTGTCTTCTAATCTCATCGCCTTCAAAGTATGTCCCATCTTCTTTATATTCCAATGATGTTTTATCCATTTCTTCTCTTCTTAAGCCATTCCCTTTCATTTTCCTCAAGTGATAGGCCATTTTTTTCTCAAGAAGTGCTTGTTTCTAAAATGTTTGAGAAAATACATTTTTAGGGTCAATTCTCCATTTTGTGATGCAAAATGCCTCTTGTCAAAAGATAGTATTTGTTCAATATGCTTTTGTTACCGAATTTTACTCCAAACCCAGAGCTCTTTCCCAATGGAAAGACCATGCTGTCTTGTAGTTTGCCTTGGGTCCATCGTGTAAAGCATCCATTGAAAGCTATGCTAAGATTAGGCCCTTGCAATCTAAGCAAAGTTTAGGGCCAGGTCATACTTGTAGGGTCCCACCAGAAGGGAGCACATACTCTAGGGCTGTTCTGGGACATGGACTGAGAAGAGATTGGCTTCTGGAGGTGACAAGGGCAAGGTGAGCATGTCAAGTTGCCTTCTCCTTTTCCTTCCTCCTTTGCTCTGGAAATGATTTAAACCAGGGGCACTTAACCTAGGTCTGTGAACTTTTGTTTTTCTAATGAGTTTTGATAACTGTATTTTTGTTTTCCTTTTTTTTTTTTTTTGCTAGGCAATGGAGTTCAGTGACTTGCCCAGGGTCACACAGCTAGTAAGTGTTATGTGTCTAAGGCTGGATTTGAAGTCAGGTCCTCCTGAATCCAGGGCCGGTGCTCTATCCACTGCACCACCTAGCTGCCCCTTGATAACTGTATTTCAACAAAATCAGTCTCCTTTGTATTCCTGCATATTTTCCTTTATTCATTTATAAAAATGGTTCTGAAAAGGGGCCCATAGGTGTCATTAGGCTGCCAAAAGAAACTATGACACCAAAAAGGTTAAAAGTCCCCAATTTAAACAAACACCACCTGCTTTGTAGCCATCACCCTCATCTGTTTGTTCCTTTTCTTTGTGTCCTCAGTTCTTAGTCCAGTACTTGAAATATTTTATAGTAGCATACTACTAATCATTGTTGTTTGTCCTTTGTTCTCGAAGAAGACCAATGACATTAGGAGGGTGATGTCTTGAATTGCAAGTGAATTGGATCTAAGTGAGGCAGGGCTGTGCTAAGTCATCAGCCTCATTCTCTCTTCCAGGGTCATCTGAGTCCCGAGGCAAGACATAGGTCAGGACAACTGGAGCTGGCCCCCTACTACTAATCAATGCTTACTGAATAGTATCTATTGACTGGGAAGTCATATATTGCTTGCAGTCAACGTAGCATAATGCAAAGAGTCCTGGATTTGGACCCAGGAGCTCCAACTTTAAATCTTGGCTCTGATGGTTAATAACTGATCATGCGATCTTGTTGCTTCCCTTCACTAAGCCTCGATGTTATGTCTATAAAATGGGGATCATAATGCTTTTACTACCAACCTCACAGGGTTGGTAGGTGTCAAGTACTTTGAAAACCTTAGAGTACACTAAAAATCGGAACTATTATTTAGACGAGAATTTATGGACAAATTTGGAAAGAGTATCTGAAATTTTAGCCTAATATTAGTACCAAAGGAAACATCTGGGAGGAAAAAATTGAGAACATTTCTCTCAAAAATCTCTGGGCCTAAGAAAAGCAGCTGTGTTATTTTCTCTTTAGACTTTTCAGATTTTGGTGATTGTACACATAATTCATTTACATATGGAAAGTCAAAAGTAATCCTCTTACAATGGGTGGAGGGGGAGGCTGGTGGGGAGGGAGAGAGAAGAGAGACAGAGAGGAGAGAGATGAAGAGAGAGGAGACAGAGAGACACAGAGAGACACACAGAGACAGACAGAGAGTGAGCGCTGGTACATTTCACCCATATGGTTGTAGGCTTTGGCAGCTTCCTGTCTTTGGAGATAACAAGCCCATATGGACAAAGGATGTGGTGGTGGCTTGTGACAAATAGAGGCTTTTCTGTGGTGAGTCCCAGTTATAGGCAACATTCCCTCTGTACCTTCCTGTCACTCTCCTCTCGATTTTTTCTTCGCTGTTCCTCGACTTGAGCTTCTCTTTTAACTTCTTCTCCAATTCTGGTCAAAAGTAACATCTCCTTTGTTTTCCATTCCTAGAGAGTAGAGTTTATTTTATATGACATGGCCTTTTATTTTTCACTACAACTGTGATTTGGTAATATGGTTCCCCCCCCTTGCCTGCCCTACCCTCCACTTGGCAAAGTAGCAGGCATTCACAGACTGGGCCTAAAGGATATCAGCTGGGCACAGAGGAGTTCACTCAGTGAATGTGGAGGAGAGACTGTCTCCCATACTTTTATCCACTGGGGACCTTCCAATGGCCCAGCTGTGTATAGATGCATTTGAAGGGGCTAAAGGCCAAAGCAGCAATTTTATCACTGGCAGCTCAGGCTGTCAACAGTAGGGAGTCCATGTCCAGGCCCGAGTAAGGCTGAACTTCGAAGACTAACAAGGGGCTAGAGAGAATGGTTTTTCTCTTCCACACCAGGAAGACCTAAGGTCAATATTCTTTCAATGAGCTGCATCTACCACAAATATAACAATGCTTTGCACCTAGTAAGTGCTTATTGAGGGCTTTTTTGTTCATTCATTTCATATGTGTATTTTAGGAGAAAGAAGGAAAAGTACCATTTTAAAATGTGACATTGCTCTGCATTTCATGGGAGTTGAGAAGATGAGCAGAGTAGAAATGACTGTTTTAACCTCTGGAAGCCCCTGTGAGGTGTATCTGTAGAGCACAGACTTGTGCTCTGCCTGTGTTTATTCCTGGACTCCAATCTCCTGCCTTTACAGCCTCACATGATAATAAAAGTGGAGAGGTGGAGGAGACACATGTAATAATCATGAAGGAACTCCAAAGAGGAGGGCACGAAGCCAAGAGTGCTTGAAAATTCATTCAATCCTGACATTTAAGAAATGCTTTCAATGTGCAATGGACTGTGTTAGGCATTATGGGAGATACATGGGCAAAGAAGGCATCATCTCTGCCCTCAAAAAGCCCCCCTACAGTCTAGAAGGGGAGATAAGCCATGTACAAGAATACAAAGTTGAAGGTGACAGAAGGTGATCAGAAGGAAAACAATGGCAAGCATCGTTACTCGTATCTGGTCCCTCTCCCAGCATCTCTTGCATCTGTCCTGTCTCTCTAGATGCACTGCCATTACCATGGGTGCCTTCATTTGCTAGGATTAGTGCAAATTTAGGGTTAATCTCTCTCCCCCCTTCCAAACTATCCTCCATATTCTTCTGCATCCACCTGGCACTCATTCTGCTCACAACCCTTCTGGGACTTCTTATGTGCCTGCCAGGTGAAGTTCCAAATTTTCATCCTATCCATCAAGACTCCTCCCCCTTTATATAGCCTTATCTCAACTTGATACTCTTCACCTTCCCATGAGCATGCCTTGTGTTCTCCTGCCTCTGGCCCTGCTCACTTTGTCCATTCTTTATAGAGTTTGTTTCCCTGACTGGTTAGCCTTTAAAGCCCACCTCAAATTCCACCTCCTCTGCGAAGCCATTAGTGACCTTTCCCCTTCAGATCTCACATTTATCATGGATCATTTTCTATTGGAGTTATCTGTCTTTTTCCCCTATTAGACTATAAGCTCCATGAGGAAAGGGACAGATTTGATGGGATCATACAGGAACAGGATTATCATAGGATGAAGGGACCTCAGATTCCATCTAGTCTCACTCTTCCATTTTACAGGGGAAGAAACTGAGGCCCAGGGAGGGGAAATGATTTGCCTAAGGTCACACAGGTAGTGAGTAACTGAAGCATGATTGGAAGCAGGTCCTCTGACTCCAGAGCCAGGCTCTTTCCACTGTGACCCACTGTGACCCACTGCCTTCTTACATACTCTTTTCACTCCCTAGGATCTAGCACAGTGCTCCCTATGCAGTGTTTGTTGCCTTGAACTGAAAGCTCATCCCCATTTTCTGTGTCTCTTCTCTCACTTCTTCCATTTTCCTCCGAAGACTAAGTTTTCTCCTCGTGTGCTCCCTCTGTCTTTTCTCTTCCTCATTCATCCGGATGAGGTGCCGCTCTTCAGTGGACCGCTCAAGATTCTCCAGCTCCCTGCTGATCGTATCTAAATATCTTTGGGCACAAATACAAATGAGGAAATGAAGGCCAGCTAGGCATCTAACAGGGCAGCATTTCAGAGTCAACTGTGCTAGCCCTAACCATCTTGTTGGTTGGCAGAATTCTGTCCCTTAAATGAACAGAAATGTACAAGTAACTCTTACATGGTCCTCTTTCCTGTCCTTTTTATATATACTCATGTTTGTATTTATTGATTATTAAGTTCACAATAAATTTTTAAAATTTTTTACCCTTCCCCCAATCTGCCCTCCCTTCTATCACCCCCACTTTTATCCCCTTCCCCTCTATCTCTTATCCCCTTCCCCCCCTATTAAAATTTTTTTTTTAGGCAATTGGGGTTAAGTGACTTGCCCAGGGTCACACAGCTAGTAAGTGTCAAGTGACTGTTCTGAGGTCAGATTTGAACTCAGGTCCTCCTGAATCCAGGGCCGGTGCTCTATCCATTGTACCACCTAGCTGCCCCTAAAATTATTTTAAAGAAATGAACACAGCCCAGGTTTCATGACTTTGCTAATATCTTACCAAAACCTGTTTGCCTTTTGTTGTTGATGCTGTCCACAGCCTGGATCTGAAGCACAGGTGAAGGGAAGGGGAGTCCTACCTGTGCCTTATTAAGCGCTCTTGGTCCTCAATAGACTGTGTGCCTTCTTGTAACAGCCATTCTCTGAATTGTGCAGCATCTCTGCTGTCTGGGATTTGATTGTGTTCCTGAAGTTTGGTGACTTGCTTTTCAAGCATTTTCTGAAAGGAAATAGAATGATGGGTTAATAATTTCATGCATGACAGATATATGTGCCACTTGTTGTTGAGGCTACTTATATTTGGGTTTGAGAGAGAAAACTGCACCCCACCTATGGCTAAGAATTCCATCACACTACATTTTGTCTCAAGTGACCCAAAAGAATGTATCATCCCTCGGGACACCGAAGCCAAATGTCTCTATCCAGGCTGAAAAACTGAGCCGTTTAACTTGAGTTCTAAAGGCAGCAGAGAAGGAGGACAGGAGAAAGGATAAGAGATTTGGACATCCCCCACTCTGGGGACACTTTGCTCTTCATGACCAGCTTCCATACCACAGGGCAGCCCCTCTCATTTTCACCCAACTTTATTGACTCTAGGAGGGGACGAGGGGACAGGGGTGTGTGTGTGTGTGTGTGTGTGTGTGAGACACACATATACATACACACACATATATAAATATACATGTGTACAAATACATAAACACACATGTATGTATAAACAGATATATACACAAATCTACATATAAACACACATACACACATATAATATAGCAACTAGTCTGGTATGGCTGGAAAGCTAGAAAGGGAAGGCAGTGTCAGATCACAGAGGGCCTTCAAGAAGATGACCTTTACACGGGAACCAGCATGGCACCGCTGAAGGGTTCTGAGCAGAGGAGGGGCCATGGTCAGATCTCAGCAAAGAAAGCCAACTTGAAGCAAGTATGAAGGATGATTCGGAGGGGGGATGGAATGAAGATGGGAAAACCTGGCAGGAGGCTATTGCAATGGTACATGTGGGTGCCAATAAGGGTTTATACTTGGGTGGTAGCAGTGAGATTAGAAGAGGAGGTAGATGTGAGAGGTTAACAAAAGGAAAAAGTCAAATGTTACCCTAAGTTTTCAAATCTAAGAGACTGGATTAATGGTAGAACAAAGATGGAAGGAGAAGCAGATTGTGAGAGAAACATAGAATTCAAACTCCACGTGGAAAGTGACAGAATTAGTTGATATTTACCTAACTCAGGGCTTCTTAACCTTTTTCTGGGACCCCTTTGGCAGTCAGCCTGGTGAAAGCTATGGACCCCTTCTTAGAATTGTTTTTTCAGTCCATAAAATAAAACACATAGGAGTACAAAGGAGCCAATTTTATTGAAATACAGTTATATAACTGTCTTCAACTGTATTGGAATCCAGTTACAGAACACGGGGAGTTGGAGGGAATGTGGGATTTCTAGGAGGAGAGACAGGAAGGCAGTTGGAGAGAAAGTTCTGGGGCTCCAAAGAGAGGTCAGGGCTGGAGATATTGGGGAGTGTGCTGCAGGGAAGTCACAGTTGAAACCATAAGGGAGTGTATAGAGAGAAAAAAAGTCAAAGAAAGAACCTTGGGGGAAACAATAATAATAACATAAAGGGATTGGGAAGAAGAGCAGAGAAAGGATTAATTGGCTAGAACCAGGAGAGTGAGATATCACAGTAAATTTCATCAGCCATGAGGCAGATCACTCATATCTTTTTTTTCCCCAAACTCTCCCAAGCAGAATTTCTTAAAGACCCAGGAGAAAATTAATTAAGATGTTTTACTTACTTGTTCTCTCATATAGTTTCTTTCAAAGTCTAATTTGAGGCTTGTTAGATACTGCCGGTATTTGTTAAACTCTCTCAAAGTGCATACAATCTAAAGAAGAAAATATAGAAATTCAAAGGTATTATTTCTATAATAGACACTTCCCCACTAAATATAACAGTAACACATTTCAGAGCCAGTGTTGAAGGCAGCGCTTTTAGATAGCTGCTGTATCAACAAGCAATTCCTATCCTTGCATATGAGAGAATGTCCTTGACTAATAAGGCACATCTGCTGATATGAACACACACACACACACACACACACACACACACACACACACACACACACCAAAAAAACCCAAAAAATAAATAAAAGAAAGATAACAAATGAACACTGGATGGGTGGACTTATAAAAATGAAACAAAATACCAACGAGAAGCTAAACTCAGTGCAAATATACTCTATCAAGTTACATTCTGTTCCAGAAACCTTTTCCTTCTAGGTTTTTAAAAGGATCCAGAGACGATTCCTTTGAATAGTGGCCGTCCTTCCTACATCTATAATCATGAGAAAGGCCTGAAGTGCAGTTGGAAGAAGATATCTTCGGAATAACAGAGACTAGACCACAGAAGTCATCTAATCCAACTTCCACCTGGGAGTGGAAGTCAGAGAACTGGAAGGAGATCTGTGTGCTGAAATAAGAAAAGAAGAAAAGAAATCTGCCACTAATTAGATTGAATTAGATCAAATCTTGCTTGGAATTGAATTCCTTCTTGATACCCTCACCAGAAGGCAGCCCAAAGCAGTTTCTGTTTGCAACAGTGTTCACCAATCTCAACTGCCAATCAAAGGCACCTGGAGGAGATATAGTGTCATCCTACTGGAAGAAAAAGCAGAAAGAAAGCCCATCCATAAACAAAGCAAGCTTTGTTCGATGGCTGGGCCTCTACCAGCAAAAAAGCATGTCCCATTGGCAGTAGGTGAGCCATAAAGGACTGAGGATCCAGCTTCAAGCCCTCTGGACAGCAAGGAGAACTGGGAAGTGTTCTGTGGAGAGCACGCTATGCTTGTATTTCTGCCAGGAGCAAATAACAGCTGTTCTCTGCCTTAGAACAAGTGAACAGACTTCAGGAATAAAGCTCTGCACTTCAGGTTAGCAGAGAATGAAATCTTTCTTGAAAAGGATGGGAGAGCCTCAAGGAGGAAGTGAAGAAAAATATCCAAAAGAGGCAGTAGAGAATCCTAACCTGAGTGAGGAAGATGGTAGAAGAATGTGACCCAGAGAAAGAAATAAAGAAGGATCTTTGAATGTATGGAGCTAAGTGAATAAGGATGGGGTTCTTTCCATGGAGGAGAGGGCTGGCCTCTCAAAGAACGAAACCACTTCTTGACTTCTAAGGCTTAATGATGCTCGCCAGGGGCCACAAGGAGAGAAGCACCCAGTAATGGTCAGAAGGAGCAACAAGTGATGCTTGATAGGGATCCCCGGCCTTCTGCTGAGACGTACTGAGGTGCCTACCTGTTGAGCTGACAGGAATCCTGGGCGTGGATCCTGGATGGAACAGAGATCGTCTGGAGAGTTGTCCAAAGTGACAGCTCCCTCTCACCCCTGGTGAGTTCCTGTGGACTGATGGAAGAGTCACCAGGAGGACTATGAAAGACTGGCCAAGAGACTGAGGATCTTGGGGACCCAGCTGGAATTTTCATCATTGTTACTGATTGAAAGTAGGGATTTCAGAAGAGAAAGGCGGATCTGGGGAGTGAACATCTCACTAAGAAGATGTCTGAGAACAGGGTGTGGATTTCTAGGCCACAACTTAAAATATACCTTACTCAGAAGGAACAAAATGGAAAAAAGTCATAATGCATATGAAGAAGCTATACCTAGATGAGGAACACGAGGCAGAAAGCATGGCAGAGCACATTTGGTGGGACTCAATGGAGTGAGAAAGAAGTGATGTGTTGTTGTGGCTGTAGAATAAATAAAGGTCATCTGCATCAAAGTAGGGGGTGGTTAGAAGAGAAGTCTTGAGGGGGCAGCTAGGTGGCGCAGTGGATAGAGCACTGACCCTGAAGTCAGGAGGACCTGAGTTCAAATCTGGCCTCAGACCAAACACTTGACACTCACTAGCTGTGTGACCCTGGGCAAATCACTTAACCCCAAATGCCTAAAAAAAAAAAGAGGGAAATCTGGCCCAGAAGCAGGAAATTAGAGTGATGGAGGGCAGGGAAGGGGAGAACTTTAACTCTCCAGAAATCTGCTGCTAGATCTCTGTTCAAAGCAGAACTGCTGATACATTTGGGACTTGCCCTAATGATTACTTAATTCTCCAGAAGGCATAGAAAGTTACAATGGGGACTGATGTGCTCAGCCAAGAAGGGGAACTGCTAATTTGGATCAAGAAGAATAAATTAGTTGCTGAAGTTGAGATGATGGCAGCCTTTTTGTGGTTTAGTCATTTTTCAGTTGTGTCCAACTGTTTGTGACCTTTTTTGGAGTTTTCTTGGCAAAGATCCTGGAGGGGTTTGCCATTTCCTTCTCCAGCTCATTTTACAGGTGAGGAAATTGAGGCAAACAGGCTTTAATGACTCACCCAAGGTCACCAAGCTAGTGAGTATCTGAGGTTGGATTTGAACTCAGGTCTTCCTGACTTCAGGCCTGGCCCTCTATCCGCTGCAGTACCACCTAGCTGCCCTGGTGGCAGCCTTAAGGGTTTCAAATTGCTAATCAAGAAGGAATGAAAGCTGGGCATAGTTTGTAGGTATAGTAAACCTAGATTTTGGTGAAGCATTTGATAAAGAGCTTCATGCTATGCTTTTGGACTAGATGATAGAACATGTAGGTAGATTTGAAATAGCTCAAATGACTGAACTCAAACAAGTTATTGTTGAAGGACTAATGTCAATTTAGAGTCTTCAGTGGAATGTCCCAAGGATCTGCCCTTGGCCCTGTGTTATTTCACATCTTTATCAGTGACTTGGAGAAGGGCATAGATGGCATAAACTAGGACAAAGCTAACACATTAGATGATAGTCAGGATTCAAAATGATGGCAACATGCTAGATTGAGGGGACATCTTTATCAGTGACTTGGAGAAGGGCATAGATGGCATAAACTAGGACAAAGCTAACACATTAGATGATAGTCAGGATTCAAAATGATGGCAACATGCTAGATTGAGGGGACAAGTCTCAGAAGATGGAATCTGATAGTGACAAGTATAAAGTTCTAAACTTAGATAAAAAACCCCTGACATTGACAAGATAAGGTGCATCCAAAAAAGGTGATGAGGATCATTAGGAGGCTGAAGAGCAGATCAGTGGGACAGTTAAGGCAGTGGAAATGTTTAGCCTGAAGGAGACAGCTTAGGAGGGAATAGGAAAGTTATCCTCAAATGTTTGATGGGCTGTCATGTGGAAGAGAGTCCAGACTTGTCCTGTTTGGTCCCACAGGGAAACATTAGTCACAATGGATGGAAGCTGCCAAGAAGTACATTTTGTTCTTGCTGCCCCAAAACTGCAGTGTGCTTTTTCAAGAGGTAGACTCCCCTGCATTGGAGGTTTCCAAGCAGAGACTGGAAGACCTCTTGTTGGTAATGATGTAGAAGATTTTTGGTTAGGTATGAGTTGGACTAGATGGCCTATGAGATCTCATGTGACTTAGAGATTCTCTGAATTGAGTTCAACAAAACATGAAATAAAATCGGATCGAATCTAACCACTCATCAGAATCACGTATCATCTAGCCTCTGCCTGAATCTCTCTGGCGAGGAGAGCGAGATGCCTCACAAAGCATCCCAGTCTGTCTATTCTAGAATGGTTCTAATTGTCGAGCTGTTTCTTTTCAAATCGAGCTGACCTCTCTCTTTGGCACCTCCATTCCACTCCTTGATCTCAGTGAAGCTCTCAGGGGCCAAGCAGAGTAAGTCTGATTACTCTTTTTGGTAATAGACCTTGAGGTATTTGAAGATGGGGAGCTTTTCCCTTGGCACCATCTCCCTCCATTATGTGCACTCTTTTCTAGCTTTAATTGATTGAGATTACAGAAAGACTAATTCCCAAAGAGAAAAGGTAATGTAAGAAACATGAAGTAATCTCAGAGGCAATAGGTCAAGGTTTGTCTGGTTTCTCTTGACCCAAACATTGGAGGGTAATATATATATATAGTCACTCACTAGGCACTTACTGCCCAACTGAATAAAAGATGAGTGAGCCCTGAGTGTCAAGTGTTGACCAAGTCAATAAAACATTTATGTGACTAAAAAAAAAATGACAACCCACTTTGTTATTGGTGGTGATGTAACCTCCTTTCTTTAATTGCTTCAAGATATCTTTGCGCTTGTAGTAGGCACTTAAATGAGGATCATGCAGGCTTTTGTATCTGGTTTCCAGTAGTTGACCATAAGGATCAGTTAGGTTAAAACCATAAGAGGGCTGAAAAAGCTGGAAACAGAGTTAAAACCATTAGTGACAGGAGATTAGTAAAATGACGCTTTGAATTAACAACATGACAGAAATTAAATGGACTGAGAATAAAACATGCAATAGAAAGACTTCAGAACTCGGACTGATGCAGTGACCAGTCATGACTGATGGTAAAGCCCTTCTTGAACTCTCAGAGAAGTGGTGGACCACAGGTGCAGAGAAAGGCATTCGTTTCTGATGCCACCATTGTGATTTATTCTGTATGACTACTTATTTGTTTACAAGGAAGGGATCTACTGGGGGTAAGGGAGAGACAGTGATATTAATAAAGAAAGAAATGGTTTGAGTAAGAACCCGCTGCTTCTTTTCCCTACTGTCTCCCCACAAAGCTTCTTTCTCCTCATGTAATCGCCATCACCATACACTGAGCACTGACCAAAAGGGGAAATGAGAGAAGGGAGAGAGAATAGAAGAGGACAGATGGGTAAAGTTCTAAGCCAGGATTGTCACCCTCTTCTTCCCTGGCCTCCACCCTGCCTCACCGCTGTGGGAAATGATGAAGGGATATCATTGTTATGCCTTCATGATCTGAAAATGAACAATAACCTCAAGAGTCCACTGTGGTTCACAAATACAACATCCATGAAAATAGAAAGAGTGAAAGACAAATGCCATTATTATGAATCAAAGATTTACTCTGAAGTCTCATCTAAAGCAGGAACCTTCATCCTATCCTTCAGACTTGCTTCCAGGAGATGAGCGAGAGAGTTTGCACTAGTATGCAGTGGCCTTTCATGTACTGAAGAACCACTTATAGACAGCATTTTACGGGAATGAAGCATGCTCTCTCTCTCTGTCTCTCTCTGTGTGTCTCTGTCTCTTCTCCTCTGTCTCCCCTTTTATGTCTGTCTCTGTCTCTTTCCTTCTTTGTTTTTCTCTCTCCTTCTGTTGCACTCCTCTGACTATCTGTCTTGCTCTGGCTCTCCTTTTCTCTCTCTCCCCTCTTCTCACCCTTTCTGTCTCTGTATCTCTGTGTCTCCCTTTCTGTCTGTCTGTCTCTCACCATGTCTGTCTCTGTCTCCTCTCTCTCCTCTTTCCTTCTGTTTCTTTCTTCTCTCTGTCTCTCTCTCTCCTATCTCTCTCCATGTCTGTCTTCTCTCCTTATGTCTCTCTCCTATCTCCTTCTATGTCCCTCTTTATCTCTCTCCTATTTCTGTCTCTCCTTCCCTCTCTCGCCTCTTTTCATCACTGTCTCTCCTCTCGTCTTTTTCTGTATCTCTGTCCTCTGTCTGTCTTTGTTCCCTTTCCTGTCTTTTACCTTCTGTCTCTCTCCTGTCTCTGTCTCCCTCCTTCTGTCTGTCTCCTTTTTTTTTCTTTTCTGTCTCTTGCCTTGTCACTCATCTTTTCTATCTCTCATATCTGTCTTATTCTCTCTTTTTCTACCTTTGTCTCTCTCTCCTCTGCCTTTTCTTTCTTTTCTCTCTTCTTCTGTATCTTTCTTTCTCCTTCCCTCTCTTCCTTCTGTCTCTCCTTCTCTCTCTCCCATGTCCTCTATCTCTATTTCTCTCTCTCCGTCCTGGTCTCTGTCTGTCTCCTTCTTTGTCTCTGCCTTTCTTTTTTTCTGTCTTTCTCTGTCTCCTCCCTTTCTTCTCTGTCTCCTCTCTACATGTGTCTCTTTCTTTCTCTCTCCTTTCTCCTTCTGTTTCTTTCTCTCCTTTTCTCCCCCTCCTTTTCTGTCCCTGTTTCTTTCTATCTCCTGTCTTTCCATTCTTCTTGTCTCCGTCTTCTTTTCTATCTGTCTCTGTCTCATACACACACACACACACACACACACACACACACATACCCTAAAGATCAAACCGTCAAGTGAATGATACCCAAGTCTACAACAAGAACCACCGTGTAAATACTACTGTCATTGTGTTAACTTTCTAAGAAAGCTATGATTTATTTTCTGGCCCCACTTGTAAATTAGCTTATTACCAAACGATGGAGGTTATTTTCACTAGCAGGACGGTGGCCTTAGATCACAGAAGTTCCTTGTTGGGGGAAAGACAGAGAAAGAGAAGGAATGAGGAATGAGATTCCAGGCTCTTCTCCCTTGCTTGATTGCACAGCAACAGACTATGGAAGATACTGTAAGGGGGCAGCCCTCATCTCCCCATCCCATTTTCTGGACACTCTGAAGTTTAGGGCCCAGTGACAGCAGGAACAGAAGCAGCTACCCAATATCCAAGATAAGAGGAAGGGGATGGCATAAAGTTCTAATTTCTAAAGCACTTGACTTTGTTTTTCAATTTCCTTAGTCGAGTTTCTGGTCCAATGATTGGCAACAGCCCCCAATTCACTACCAAACTTTCACTGAAAAAAAAAAGAGGGGAGATAATTGAGGACTAATTCACAAGTAATAACTGATATAAATTGCAAGTCACTCTTGGAAAGACAATAATAATAAATGTAGCAATTTGCTAATAAATCTCTCCTTTACTTAGTTCCAAATATTGGTTGTAACAAGGATATATTGTGGCTTAGGACTAGTGACAGACACATTTAGTGAACTAATGTCCTGTCAATATTGCGCCACTATTGACAAATCCGTCAAATTAAGATCACTGGTTACATGGCAGTCATCAACTGAAATCACCTGTTTCCTTGAACTGAGTGAGGTCTCCTTACTTTATTACAAAAGTCATTATTGCCTGACACTCCTGGCTTTGAATTCTGATAACTCACATTTCTAAAGTATTTTAAAGTTTACAAAGCATTTTACCCACAGTAACCCTATACAACCGGTACTGCATTATTATCTTATTGTATTATATTGTAATATCATTCTATTATTGCATTACTATTACTGCATTATTATCACTTTTCAGATGAAGGTAATGAGACTCAGAAAGGATAAATGACTTACTCAGGGTTATACAGAAGATGTCTGAACTGGAATTTGAACCCAAGTCTTTGGGCTTCAAGTTTAGTATACTTTCCCATCAGCCAAACTACTTAAATCATTATCAGCCACATGCTAGAGGCAAGTGAGGATGTTTCATGTTGTTGTTCAATTGTAAGTTTTGTTGTAATCGACCTTAAATCAGGACCTCTCAGCATGCCGCCATTTTCTTACCATCATGAACGGCCAATGTGGGACCCTCTTTAGTTCCCTGACAGGGTAATTATGAAGATCAAATAAGATAATGTGCACATAAAGTGTTCTATAGATGTCAAATCATGATCTGAATGTAAATTAAGGGCCACAGTGTGGGCCAATGGGAAGAACTTGGGCCGAGCACCAGAGTTCTTTGTTCCTAATTTTAGTTCTTTCACCATGACCTCAGACAACTCATTTAGAATCAAAAAGCACAGTGGAAAGAATGTTGGATTTGGGGTCAGAAGATTATGTACGTTCAGATCCTGGCTCAGAAACCTACTAACTGTGATACCAGGAAAGCTACCTCATTCCCCGAGCCTGATAAACTGAGATAATAAGCCTTGAACTCCTTTCCTTACGAGTTTATTGGGAGAAAAGTGCTTTGTAAACTTAAAGGTGCTAGAGAAATGATGATTACTATTTAGTCCAATCCCTTTCTTTTATAGATGAGGAAACTGAGGCTCAGAGAAGTTAAGTGGTTTGCCTGAGGTCACAGAGATAGCAAGTAGGAAGTTAGGACAGAAAAGCTAGTCCTTCTATGATAAATAATAGCTAACAAAGATGCAATGTGAAGGGTCACAAAGCACTCTATGAACATTATCTTGGTTGATCCTTGCACCACTCCTGTAAAGTAGATGCTGGGGGGAAGCAGTGCCATTTAGTTCTTAGGACACACATACACACAGAGTCCCTTACCCCAACTTGCAACTAAGTACACAGACAGCCTTTGTAGTTAGGGAGCTGGGAAGGGCTGCTCTTGACTAAGTGGTTCTGTGGATGCAGGAAAAGGCTGGTTGCCTGGAGACCATCAGAACTTTGAGGCTGAGTTCTGGGCACTGGTCAGTTAACCTCATGGAAGGATATGGGTGCTGAGCATTAGGTGGGATGAGAGAGTTCTGCTCAATCACATGACCACAATTTGTGGATTGAGAGCCTTTCTTGACTGGGAGGAAAGTGGTCTTGGCAGAGGACTTTAATAAGATCAGGGTCTTAGAATACCCTGCGAATGGCAGAGGTTTTGTATGAACATTCCATCCCCCTTTTGTGAGGGTGGCTGAAGTAGGTGATTGTAACTCTGTCCAGGGTATTTAGCAGTATTAGAAAGTCCCTGCCTGCTCTATTTATTGTATGTCAGCTTTAAGGGTTACAAAGTGCTTTATATCATTTGAATCTCACAACAATCCTGAGGAGGAGATGCTATCATTATCTCTATTTTAAAGATAGGGAAACCGAGGTTCAGAGAGTAACTTGTCTAGGGTCACGAAATTATTAAGTATCTGAGGTCGGACTCAAATTCTGGTCTTTCTTACCTGGAAGAAGAAAAGATTTTTTTGGTAATACCTTAATTAAATAATCAGGAAGAAATAAAGCATTAACTGTATCCCATTCTTTGAATTACATGAGTTTACAGGAGGCTTTACTAGAAATAGAGCTTAAGTAGTTTTCCTAAAATGCCAAAGAAACCTAGGAGGGTTGAGAACCTACACTTCCTATCCCATGGTCCTCTCCAACTACACTGCATGATATTCCCCCCAGCTGCTACATATGGCTTTGCTTTTCAGCTTGTGCTGGGTGGCACGGCCAGTAAGCAGGGATCCCATGACTGGTACATCATCCCTGGACTGAATAGCAAGGGAAAGGGGTTAGGAAAGTGCCTGTTTACCATTATTTACAGGAATGATTTTACCTTTTCACTTAAATTTGTGGTGTAGAATAAAGTATTACTGCCTGGGATCAGAGGCAGCTTGACGCCAAGAGGTAAATCCAGCAGCTGAGCGGCCCCTACTCCTGGAAACTGCATTTTGTGGGGGCTCTGTCAGAACAGAATTACATGGGCTTTAGTCGTAGTGGATCGTTTGTGGAAGAAATGAAACTCTTGGCACCTCAGTGGGCTCCCAGCTCTGAATGCATCACGGTGTCAGTGTGTATACATACAATTGAGTCTTAGGAAGTGAGCAAAGAGGGCATCGTTCAGTGTAGGAATCCCTTTGATGGCACTAGTGGAAGTGGGGTGGGAGGAGGGCTTGTTAGAGGACATCCAAGCCAACCTCCCACCAGGAGCAGCAATGCCTCCTATAGCATTAACAGGGAGATCATCTCCATTTGGTTACTCCCTGGACCTGTCACCTGCTGAGGGACTTCCTTGCACAGCACCCCTGATGGGTATGTGGCATCCCCACCACTTCTCCTTGGCTGTCTCCAGCACAACAAGGTTCACTACTTACGGGAGGCGGCCCATTCTAACTCCTCCTCATCACAAGTTTTCAAAAGAGAGTATTAAATGCAGCTGGCCTGGCTGGGGCAAGGCCCTGGAAGTGGCTCATAAGATGAGCAGGGAGTCCTAGCCTCAGACTAGAGCTACATCTTCTATCCCTGCTACACTTATCACAGGCCTCCACAGTCCAACAATACTAGAATGTTGCCAAACAACTAGAAATGTGGTCGTTTTAAATTAATTACTTTAGGAGATTGGGGGCAAGGGGAGGTGTCATTTTCTCTGGTCTGCTTCTATATATTTGGGTAGGGTCTGATTATTGCCCAGGATGAAAAATCTCCTGAAATTACACTTCTGGTGACATCCCTCATTGAACATGTTCTTGTTCAGTCTTGTACTGTGGGCCATACTGTCCATGGGGTTTTCTTGGCAAAGATCCTGGAGTGGTTTGCCATGTCCTTCTCCAGTGGATTAAGACAAACAGAGGTTAAGTGCCTTGCTCAGGGCCACACAGCTAGTAAGTATCCGGGGCTGGATTTGAATTCAGGTCTTCCTGACTCCAGGCTCAGTGCTCTATCCACTAGCTGCCTCCTGTTGAACATGACACTGCTCTATAAAAGGAAGAGGCAACAATACATGCAGCCAGCCAGACAATTATAATCTAAGATTGAAATAGGGAGGTTTTGCTTTTGCTTTCCCTTTGGTGGCTATAATTTTGTTTACCTTTTCTTTGTGGGTGCAAACATTTCGGTCCAACCCCTGCCTGAGCAGCATCCCCAACCAGCGGCCATCCATATTCATCTGGTTGAAGAGTTCCACTGAGGTGGGATTGCCTGGGGCAAGCCAGGCTGGGCCAGGCCCTTGTGGACAGCTTAACTTGTTCAGAAGTTTGGGTTTACAATGAGTTGAAATCTGCCTCTGACTTTCCCCCATTTTTCCCAGTTCTATCCTCTAGAGCCAAGTTGTACAGGCCTAATCTCTTCTACATGGCAGCCCTGCAGATATTTGAAGACAGCAATCATCTCTGTTTCACTTAAGACTTTTCCCTTTCTCTAGGCTAAACACCCCCAGCTCCTTCAACCTAGTCTTGTCCAGCAGGGTCTCCAGCATAGTTCATAGGATGAGTATCTAGAGGATCTACCAGATTCCTGAAAATCTCCAGTAATGTGGGACCCACTATTTCATTGTTAGACAGCTCTGATTCTATGCTACACTCCTCTTCCTCAGTAGGAGTTCCAGAATAATATAGGAATTAGAACTGGAAAGGATTTCACAGATCATCCAGTCTATACCCCTCCTTTTATAGATGAAGAGACAATTTAGGGGTGTGGTGAGAGACTGAGGACAGAACTAGGACCAATGGGCAGAAGATTTCAGCTCATTGCAGGGGAAAAGTTCTTAACTATGAGAATGGTTCAAAGTCGTGCTGCAGGGGGAGGGGGTGGATTCCCTCTCACTGGAGGTACGCTAGCAGAGGCAGAATGACAACTGGGATTGCTTCAGAGGGAATTCTTGTTCACTTATGGATTGAGCTAGATGGTCCTTGAAGTCCCTTCCAGTTCTGATATACTAAGGCTCAGAATAGTGAAGTGACTTGGGATCATAGTAGGACTTAGAACTTGAAAGTGCCTTAGAGGGAGGAATTGAGGCCTAGGGAGGATAAGTGACTTGCCCAAGATCACACAGGCAGGAAGCCTCAGTTGAGAGGATACACTGGCCCTCTCACTTCAGAGATCAATACATCAAAGTCCCAGAGAGGTTAAAAGGGACATCAGAGGCCATCAAGTCCAATCCCTCGATTTTACAAGTAAAGAAACAGGCCCAGGGAGGGAAAATGACCTGCCCATGATTACACAACTACTAATTGGGAAGATTTGAACCCAGGTCCTCTGACTCCAGCTCCAAAGCTCTATAGATGCTGCAGCACCACCAGGGTCGTGGATGATCCTGACCTTCCCCCATTCTCATCTCTTACCTTCAGGTTATTTGCCCCTTTTTACTGGCCCACTTCCACCACCGAAATGGTTATAGAGCCCAGGGGGCCTATGGGTGGTTCAGAGTGGGGTTAGATGGGGGCTAAGGCACTGGGGATAGAATTCCACAGGTTTGGGGTAAGCCCTTGGACCAGGGCTGGGACTCTCAGGATTTGGGTCAGAGACCTCGAGGTTTCCAGGCAAGGCCTTCAAGGTTTGGGCAGGTCCTCAAAGCTTGGGACATGGTCCTAGGGCCAGAGGCAGGGCTTTAGAGATTTGGGGTGGAGTTTTGGAGTTTGGGACTGGGCCTGGAGAAGAACCCTCCGGGTTTGGTGGACCCCTAGGTCTTTAGGGCAGAGTCCTAGGGCCAGGGGAGAGGCTCCAGGGGTTTTGGGGATGGGGCCCTTGAGATTTTGGGGCCCAAAGGTTTGGGACAGGGTCCTGGGGCTGGGGCCCTCGGAATTTGAAGTGGGCCCATGAGTTTTGGGGCAGACCTTCGGGGTTTTGGAGGGCCTGTGGGTTTGAGGATGGTCCCTCAGGTTGGGGGGGGCCTGTGGGCTTCAGGGCGGAGCTTCGGAGGGCCTGTGGGTTTGGGGGCGGTCCCTCAGGTTGGTGGGGGGCCTGTGGTCTTCGGGCGGAGTCTCGGAGGTTGGGAGGGCCCGTGGGTTTGGGGACGTTCCCTCAGGTTGGGGGGGCCCCACTGTGGACTTCGGGGCGGAGCCTCGGAGCCTGGGAGGGCCCGTGGGTTTGAGGACGGTCCCTCAGGTGGGGGGCCTCGGAGCTTCGGAGGGCTCGTGGGTTTGACCGGTCCTTCAGGTGGGGGGGGCCTGTGGGCTTCGGGGCGGAGTCTCGGAGGTTGGGAGGGCCCGTGGGTTTCGGGACGTTCCCTCAGGTTGGGGGGACCCCCTGTGGACTTCAGGGCGGAGCCTCAGAGCCTGGGAGGGCCCGTGGGTTTGAGGACGGTCCCTCAGGTTGGGGGGAGCCTCGGAGCTTCGGAGGGCTCGTGGGTTTGAGGACGGTCCCTCAGGTGGGGGGGGCTGTGGGCTTCGGGGCGGAGCTTCGGAGGGCTCGTGGGTTTGAGGACGGTCCCTCAGGTTGGGGGGGGCGCCTATGGGCTTCGGGGCGGAGCCTCGGAGGTTGGGAGGGCCCGTGGGTTTCGGGAGGGCCCCCGGGGTTTGAGGCAGGCCGCTCACCTCGCCGCACCGGCCGCCGTCCGCCACCAAGTGGCTGGCGGCAGTCTTGGTGGCGGCGGCATCTGCAGCCTTGGAGCAGGCGCTCAGATAAAACTCCATGGCTCCCTAGGGCAGGATGTGGGGCGGGCGGAATGTCTCCGCCCCTGCCTCCGCTCCGCCTCCGTCACCGCCTTTCCGCCTCTCCTCGGACCTCTTCTCCTGCCTCCTCCTTCCTCCTTCCCCCTGGCGCCCGGGTTCGCTCCCTCTTCCCTCCGCTCTCTCTCGACCCTCCTCCCCTCTCGACTCCAGCCAGACTTCGAAGCCCCCTCCTTGCCTTGACAACCGTTCTTTTCTACCCCCTCCTCCAGCATGCTTCTGTTCCACGCACGCGTTGCCTAGCAGCGGACACGCGGCCCCTCCCGTCACGTTCGATGGGGAGCGTATGTGTGCTGAGTGGGGGAGGGTCGTGTGCGTGCGTACGTGTGTGCCTACGTGTGCTGGGGAGGGGTGTTGAAGGGAGACGAGAGTAGAAGTAGAAGAGGGGAACGACCTCTAAAGAGTTGGGACGGGTGGGTGTCAGGAATTGGGGTGGGTCGCTTAGGGAGCCAGTGTGAAAACTCACGTGCTTGCTCTAAGCAATCCCCGCTCACGTACAGTTCTGAAAAATACAAAACCAAAATAATCCAGTGCCTGGGGATCTGACCAGTTTCTCTTGTATCCCAAGGGGGCAGAAGGTTTGGATGGGGAAAAAACCAACCCCCACCCCAAACTAACCACTGCTCATCTCCCGATCCCAACCGTACAGTCATTTAGACCAGAAATCGAGGGGAGGAAGGGGCACTGGGATGCTAGAAGGGGTTTACTGGCTCCTTCATCTAGGGCTGCCAGAGAGAGGCTGCCACCTGGCCCAACCCTCTCATTCGACAGACGAGGTGAAGGGACACTAAGGGAAGGCTTGGTGTGTTTTTTAAAACACCATGGGCCTCAGGGTTTGGTCACTTTGGTGTTTTTCAAGGAACTTTATTCAGCCCAGCTGTTTTTATTTATTTCTTTTGTGTTGACAAGCATTTATTTATAAAATAGTCCTAACTGTTCCAAATGTGTGTCTAGTACTGTACTCCAAAGCCACCATCCTGTTTAAGAAAGTTATTTATTCTTAGACATTTCTAGCTGTGTGACCCTGGGCAAGTCACTTCAGTTTGCCTCAGTTTCCTCATCTGCAAAATGGGCTGGAGAAAGAAATAGCAAAGCAGTATCTCTGTGAAAAAAACCCAAAATGATGTCAGGAAGAGTAGGACACAACTGGAAAATGACTCAACAGCAACAACAACAACAACAACAACAACAACAACAACTCATTCTTAGAAAAATGCATTCCTGGGTATCCCAAAGCACCAGAAATGCTTACCATGGATAGGTTATTAACACCACTCCAGCAGCTCAGTATGGTGTAGAGGTGAGCCTGAGACCTCAAAGGGATGCTAGTATAGCCCAAGATCTTATAGGTCCTACCTAGCTGGAATGGCCTAATGACGAACTGTATATTTGTCATCTGAGGACCAGCCTAAGTTTGGTGTTCATTAGATTGACCACAGGCTGATGAATTTTTCAGCTGTATACACTCTCAAAGACCATCTCCTAAGACCTGGAGGTACTGAGCTCTGTACCCAAGCTGATCAAACATTGAAGTATCTTAGAAGGCTGATGTTTAAAGAGACAAGTGTGATGGAAACTTTCAGAGTTGGGCTGATTTTTTGCCCACATTTTCTTGCAAAGATGAAATCCTGAGGAAGAAACTATTGTAGAGGGTAACTTTGAACTGTCCCTTAGTCTTAGAGGCTTTGAGAATGTTTCAAAAGTAAGTATTGATTTCAGCTGGCAGGCTACATTCTTAGGTGTTGGCTTATCTATCAAAGCTAATTTGAAATATTGCAATATGACAGCTCTGTTGGTCCATTGTGAGCCTCATACTAATTGGGTTTTTAGTGGTTACCAAATGTCGAGGTGATCATAAGTGATTTTGGAAGCCCCTCAATTGGTTTTTCTAGTCAGGAAAACCTCTGATAAAATATCTGAAACCAACACTGGTACCCTTTTCTGAGAGATTATGCTCACTTGGAATGTTGAACCCATCTAGTAAAGAAATGCTGATAGTCACTTCTAGAATTTTAATATAAAAAATGAAATCTTCAAGATCACTTAATTCTAAGCATGTCAAAGAAATCTGTCCTTGGCCCTATGCTGTTCAACATTTTAATCAATATTTTGGAAGAGAGGTAGGTGGCAAACATCAAAATTGCAGACAACAAGAGTGTAGGAGGGATAACTAAGATGTCTGATGACAGAATTGGGGGCCAAAAAGGTCTTAACAGGCTGTGATCATCTTACTCTATCTACTCTGTCCTGGTCAGACCAATATGGGGTATTGTGTTCAGTCTGGGCACCACATCTTAGGCAAGATACTGACCAGCTGAACTGCATCCAGAAGTGAATGACTAGGATGTTTAGAAGGCTGGGAACTATTCCAGATAGGAGTTCCTAAGTTTTTGGAGGCCTACTTTTTTTTTTAAGGCAATTGGGGTTAAGTGACTTGCCTAGGGTCACACAGCTAGTAAGTGTCAAGTGTTTGGTCTGAGGTCAGATTTGAACTCAGGTCCTCCTGACTTCGGGACTGGTGCTTTATCCACTGCGCCACCTAGTGTCCCCTACTTTTTTTAATGGAAAAATGTTTTCTCCACACAGCATGCTAACACAAACAAACTTACATTTATTCCCCCAAGGTACAATCTTGAAAACAAACCCAATATCCTAAAAAAAAAAAAGTGCAGGCAGCCCCCTATTTCAGACTTTTTCAATGTATTCATCAATTGTGCTGACTTTCCTTTCTCAAAAAATACTGTTTGTCATATGGAATGGCTCTCTGGGAGGGGGAAGAGGTACATGGGATAACTATGATGAAACAGAAAATATAAATAATGTATTTAAAAAATTAAAATGGAAAAATAAATGCAGCCCTACACCTAAAAATAGTTAATCATTTCTTAAAAGAAAGGGCATATACTTTACCTTTAATAATATGGTACCAACATTAGCAATCATTTTTTATCTGAATTTTGTTGCCATTTAAAGTTGTCACATGTATATATGTGTGTCTACATCTATAGCTATCTATCTATAGTCATGTTTCTTACAATTCTTCATGTTGTTCAGTTGTTTCAGTCATGTCTGACTCTTCGCTCTTTGTGACCCCTTTTGGGGTTTTCTTGGCAGAGATACTGGAGTGGTTTGCCATTTCCTTCTCCAGCTCATTTTACAGATGAGAAAATTGAGGCAACAGGGTGAAGTGACTCGTCTAGGGTCATACAGCTAGTAAGTGCCGAGACCAGATTTGAACTCAGAAGATGAGTCTTCCTGACTCCAGGCCCAGCGCTTTATCTACTGTTGTGCCACCTAGCTGCCCCATCCTAGTTTCTTTGTGCTAAATAATATCCTATGACATTTACCTATCATGATTGGTTCAGCCATTCTTCAATTGTTGAGTATATAGATTGTTCCTATCTTTTGGATATTATAAAAAGAGTTGCTATGAATATTTTTTGTGCAGATAAATCTTTTCTGTCCTTGGGGCATAAATATAATAGTGAGATCACTTGGTTGAAAATGAACAATTTTATCGCTTTTCTTGAATAATTACAAATTATTTTCCAAAACAGTTGGACCAATTTCTAACTCTACGGACTAGATCTGTCTCTCTGCAACCTCTGCCCTTTACTCCTAATTCAGTCCTCTGGGGTCAGGCAAAACAAGGGCAATCCCTCTTCAAATACTTGACCAAAGAGATCACACTCCCTCTCAAGTCTTCTGTTCTCCAGGCTAAATATCCTTAGACTTTGATACAGCTGCACTCGCCTCCTTGCTGTTCCTCACACACAACACTCCATCTCCCTCCCTCCCTTCATTGCCTGTCACCCATAACTGGAATGTTCTTCCTCTTCATCTCCTTACATTCTCTCTCTCTCCAGATACATATATATATACACATATACATATATGTGTGCATATATCTATATTTTATGTGACTCTCTCTCTCCCTTCTATGTACATGTTTTTTTTTGCATATTGTCTCCTCCATTAGAATATGAGATCCTTGCAAAGAGGGACTGTGTTTTCTTTTATCCTCAGAACTTAGCATAGTGCCCTGAAATTCAAGTGACTTGATCAAGGTGATACAGATGATAAGTGGAAGAGGTGACATTAAATCCCAGCTCTTCTGATTCTAAATTCATGCTTCTTTCCTCTGTACCGTATTGACTCTCTTCCTTCATACTTTTGAAAAACGGTGTAAAAAATATTGCATTGATAGGGTCGCTAGGGGGCACTGTGTTACAAAAAGGAATATTGAACTCTTTTTTTTTTTAAAGATCCTTTATTTAAAATCGAATTCAATAAAAATGTTTTTGCAGTGTTCTAAAAAAGAAAAAAAAGCTCTTACTAATTAATTTTTGTCTCTCTTTAAAATACCAGGATGGTGTCATTTTTCATCTTTTATTGATTTCTCTGCTATATGACTGCTTTCACTGCTAATAAGCAATGATTTGGGATCTAATTCAATTTCATTCCGGCTCTGACATATACTCCTTGTCCGACCTTGGGCAATTCATTTAGCCTCCTGCCCTGGGCCTCAGTTTCTTCATCTGTAAAATGAGGAGGATGGACTAGATGACCTTTGACATCCCTCCCTTGCTCTTTTTTGAAGTGTTCTATTTTTTTAAAGTGTCTACTAAGTGCTAGGTATCAGGGATACAAATAGAAAAGCAATACAGACCCTGCTTTCAAGGAGTTTATACTCCATTAGGGCAGGGGGCTTAATCTGGAGTCCATGGATCTCCAAAGGGTCTGTGGATAGATTTCAGAAGATCTGGGAATCTTTTTAGGATTATGATAATTACATTTTAATATAATTGGTTTCCTTTGTAATCCTATGGATTGTATTCAGTGCATTTAAAGACATGATTCTGAGGAGGGGTCTAGTAGGCTTTCCCAGACTACTCAAGGGGTTCAGGACACACAAAAGGTTACACTAAGCTGATACAGCATGTTTATGTTATGTACATGTAGAATTGTTGTAGTTCAGTTATTTTCAGTAGTGTCTGACCCCATGTGGGGTTTTCTTGGCAAAGATACTGGAGTGGCTTGACATTTCTTTCTCTAGCTCATTTTACAGATGAAGAAACTGAGGCAGATAGAGGGTAAGTGACTTTCTCAGGGTCACCTAGCTAATAAGTGCCTGAGGCTAGATTTGAACTCAGGAAGAGAAGTCTTCTTGACTTTAGGGCTGGTGCTGTATGCACTACACCACCTAGCTGCCCAAAGAGATCTTTGTTGACCCCATTTGAGGTTTTCTTGGCAGAGTAGTTTGCCATGT